AGGTAATCCTATATTAATCATGTTATGGTTTATATTCATCACATTCTGGTATGATAAAGTGAGCATTAAAATTAACAAGTCCATTAGCACCATTCTTACTTTTCAAAACGTCATTATTCACCTTGGTCAATTTTACAGCCACATCACAGTCAGCCCTCATTTATAGATTGTTCACTTTGTCTGGTTTTGTTGCAGCATGCCACATTTAAAAGGCTTCTTTGTTTTTAAATACTTGTTTTACTCTCTTTCTTTGTTAAAAATTTACTATAAATAAATAAAAAATTATGAGTAAAAAAGAATGTTTTAATTGTGATCAAAATAAAGAAGATTTAGAAATTAATTGATGAGATGAAGAAGAAAGGCATACTGAATTTTGTTGCTGAGGATGTGCAGAAACTCTCATAATACATAAAAAAAGAATTGGATAAGAACACTAATAAAGACTGAGAAAGAAATAAAATAAAGTTCTTCAATGAAGCCTTACAAAAGCTAAAAACAAAGAAAAATTTGACTATCCTTTTCCATATCGAAGCATAAGGCAAAAGGGCGGTGGAAGATGAGATAGATAATAGAGTAATAGCAACTACTACTACTTGGTGTCCTCAATGTAAAATTATTTTGGATTGAAAGTTACTGCTTATATATATATCTATCTAAGTTTTCCATGAAAAAATTTTGAAGACATTACAGGCCTATTACTATAAGAAACAATCAATTTCGAGGAACTATGGAAGATGAACGAAAAAATCCGTGATCCAGAGGCTTAATATCGAAAATTCCTCGGACTCAATTAGAAAACCAACTTGAACAAAAAAAAGCTTACTGAATAGTTGGCTGTGGATTATTATTGTTTCTTTCAGTTATCTTGACATAATTAACTCTTATCTCTCTGAATTCTAACCAGTTTAATAACTAATTAACACTTTTTATTTAGTATAAAATAAAACATTACTCAATTACATTTTGTACTGGCTTGGGGCAAGTAATATCTTGTATGTAAATCCCGTAACCATGTACAGTAGCGGTCATATGCCTGATCACACGTAAAATTTCGGCTTGAGCGGATGTTTCCAGCAAATTCTCCAAACATTTGATATTTTGTATCGGACTATACTACATTCCTCTATGCGATGCCAACCATAAAACTTTAAAAATTCATATCTCGATGTTTTTCTAACAACATTTTGTATTCTTTTTTTTTTCTCTTTTATTCTTTGAACCAGCCGTAATTATGCTTATAATCTATGGGCGAATTATAGCGTGATCGCTACTACGAAATGCAAATAAGCGTGCAACATGGACGACTCGAAGAGTTATAATGCGCATCTGTTTCCTTTTATAGTAACAATGTTTCATAATTCGACTAGATGTTCCAAAAACCATGTAGAGATGGCTTAGATAAGCAAAAGGAAAAAAGGATTATGAAAATCGATTAGAAACGTGTAGAGATATGAATTTTTGAAGTTTAAGTTCGAAATAAGCGAATGCGATTTTGATATGTTTTCATATGTTTCCATACGTTTTCGAAACAAAATATCAAATGTTTGGAGAATTTGCTGGAAACATCCGCTCGAGCTGAAATTTTACGTGTGATCAGGCATTGTCATAAACCTTTTGTCTGGAAAATTTAACGAGTTATTATTATGTACGTTTAGGTGATACAACCGTTCGGATACTTATGACCGCTACTGTAAATACGGGATTTACATACGACAAATATAAACCATAACAGGATTAATATAGGATTACCTCTATATATAAAAATATTAATATGAAATTAATTTACATCAAAAACCAAAGAATTACAGCATTATTAGAAGCATTTTAAAAAGGAGCAAGGAGAAAAAATTGCTCCGTATATTTTTAAACTGAATGACATCAAAATTCTTGAGGAATATCTAGATAAAGAAAAAATCACTTATGAAATTTACCAAGAAGAACGAAAATCATAACTACTAAACGAGCATTAACACCAAAACCAACACCAACACCAACGATGAACCAAGAAAGAAACGAAAACTTGAAGAAAGGTAAAGGCAAGCAGTTTAACGTAAAAGGCCTCCGCTGATCCAACTTGCTTTCGACGAAATCAAAAAGGATAGAGTTACGTATGTGCTGGTAACTTCTTTGTGATATTAACCCATCATTGTAACTGTGTATTGTTAGTCTATCCATTTGTTCTTCGTAAGGATAAGAAACACCCAGATTTGCGATGAATCGCCTATCTAGATGTTTACGATTAACTCGCTAATGGCATCGGACATGGATTCGCCAGTATTGTTGCCATATGTGCTGTCCAAGAAGTATCAGTAGTTCAGGTTGCCGCTGAACGTGAACATCGTGATAGCCATCAATGTTCATTACAAGGCGAGCGCTTTCTGAATACTGTATCAAGGCATTCTCCACATATTGACCGTGCGCATCGGACGTTTTCTTTCGGCGATTAACTGCCCTCGATGTTGCAGTTACCCCAGATTTGCTAAATCGTTCGATCCTCCATTGCTCGTTCCCGCTGAGTCTAAACAATATGCAAGCTCAAATTTGGAAAGCGTTAATTTTGGAATTGAGCAAATAACAAATGAATACCATAAGTCTCTTCATACGATCTATTGTTTGATCGTTCCGTTCGCCTGCCGCGCTGCTAAATAAAGTTGTTCAAAAAAGTCTTTCAAGGCAGGCTTCCGTTTTTCTAGCAATTCTCGCATTTCATCAACCATATATAGCGGCCCTTCTTTATCCACATGCTCTCGTTCATGAAGGATTTTTACTATCGATTTGATGACTTCAGAAAACTCAATCAGACATGCTCACCTCTTCTTCCTCCGTAACTTTCACTCGCTTACAATTTCTTTTTAATGGATTTTCTACCAAACGCATATTAATATTGCAACAATTACACCCTCCCTCCACATTGCCTTTACTAAACAGTTTCTCTTGGCCTCATTCCTTTTTCTCCAACTAATACTAATGGACGGAATCTAGTTGACTCTGTGGTTTTGCAAACATTCTAAATAAGTGACTTGAGAGTGAAGGTCAATGAATTCAGTCTAATAGTCGTGTTGAACAGTATAAAAGCGTTAAGTTTGTTTAGAATTCCCAAAGTGTGTTTCTTATCTGAGATCGGGCTTCAAAAAAGTTATTTTAAATAGTATAATAATAAATACGGACAAAAAAAAATAAAATAAAATAAAATAAAATAAAAAAACGCGGGTATATAAAATTTTACACAAAACACCGAAAAAAAAAAAGAAAAACAATTTGTTTTTTTTTGTTTTTGTTTTTTATTATAAAAGTTTGTTATTGTTTTCTTTTATTTATTAAAAAAAAAAAACTAAACAAAAAACTAAACAAAAAAACTGAATACTAAATAAACAAAAAAACTAGCTTTTTTTTTCTGGCGTTTTGTGTAAAATTTAATGACGTTGTTACAGTAAGATTGTATGTCTGAGACAGTTATTAACCGATATGTTTTACATAGTGAAGTACGCGTGACTTTAATAGTTCTGTGCCGTGTCATTTTTCGTCTCCATTATATTATATTTGTCAATAATACCGAATACTTATTCTTGTGTTTTTTCCTGCTTCTTACCGTTCAAAAACGTGCAGTAAGTTCTCCCTAGAGTCATACCGTTTGGGCAGCCCATTTGTGGTGACTATAGGGAGATGGGACTATAGATAATGTCTGTAATCACATAAAATCACTAGGAAAACGGGTGACTATAGTAATAGAGAGATAGTGACTATAGGAGATGGGACTATAAGAGATGGGACTATAAGAGATGGGACTATAGAGAGAGATTAACTGTATTCGCATTCTCATAGAATAAATTTTGATTTTTTTGTCTATTTTTGTTTTATATCCACTACCACTTGAGGTAACCTCAAGCGTCCTTGTTCGCCCTCTTCCGGATCAGAAAACCGCAGACGAGAATACTTTGACCCACAACCGAGTCTGACAAAATTGTACACAAGCAACAAACATTGTGATCATGCAACAATTATTGTACGAATATTGAGATGCTACGACACTTTAGGTACGTAGCAGCACGACATTCTTTTAACGTTGTTTTATAGTAATCTATTCACATATGCCTTCTAATAAACAAGTAGATATATACATTGCGAATATTCGAACTACTAATCCCTCTATTGATTAAGGATATCTATAGATGGCAGTTACGATTAAATATAATGATAAATGGGTTTAGACAACTATAAACTATAACATAGCCCAACCTATGGGACTTCCGTGTTTAATATTAAGTTTTCTCGGAAACTCACATAATTGACATAAAATGAAAGTAATAAGTAGTGACCATTTTGAAAGATGCCTCGAGTATTTGATGAAAAACTGTTACTGTTTCACATAATACTGTGCAGCAGTGATAATTGATCGATCGGCTAGATGTGCATGTGACTGATAAAATTCTCGGTACATTTGATTTCACTTGTATAAAAAAAAGTCTCATTATTATTATTAATATGTTTGCACCAGTTAATACTCAAGATCCTTCCGTTATAGACGAAACCAAGTCCTCTTCTACGTCCATTGAAGAGAGTTATGACGACTTAATTTCAAGACACAAAAATGAACGTAAACAACTTATATCCCGCATAACAGCATTGAAAAAGTCTGCAGGGAATAAGAAACGTAAAAAAGAAATACAAGCTGAAGTCGCAAAGTTAGAAAATGATCTTCAAGAAAGACACAAGCAAGAAATAAAGGAACATCAAATGAAGTATGGAGTCATGAATGAAGATAAGAAGAAAGAGGTTTGTAGTTGAACAATGCATACTTCTGTTGGTCATTGTTCCATTTATGACTATTGTTTGCTCACAGGACAACAACAGTGATCAAGATGAATCAAATGAGGATATTACTGACATACTATTGGCCAGAATAAATGCCAAGCAAGTAGAAGAGTCACCAAGACAACCAGCACCTCCTCCTCAGCAAGATAGAAGGAAAAAACAAAGTCGTCGACAGAGACGTCAGGTATACTGTTTTTAAATATGCACAATATATGCCCACAAGATGCATTCCACATTTTCATTGAATGGTGTAACTACCTAAATAATCGGCTTGTCTACATAGGAACGCAGACGCTTAGAAATGCAAGATCAAGATTCGGACGAAGCAGCTGACCAGGTGAATAAACAAGAAATTGAGAAAAATGCCATGGCAGAATTAACAAAAAGCATGGGATTAACTATTAAAGAGGTGATTAATGTGATTAATACCAAATGATTATGTGATTGAGAATTATATGTAGTATAACAATCCTTTATATATTGGATCCGACGCGTAGATTGCTCCAAATGGCCACTGGTAGGCGTTAAAATGTTATTTATTGGTTTAATTTATTTTCTAATCTCGCTGATATTAATCCAATATTCTATCTTAACAGCTTGTATAATGCAATTTCAGATCAGCTGCTTTTACAACACAATATTCCTGTAAGTAGTTTTCTGATTTAAAGTTTTTTTATCTTCAAGCTTGATCCATTTTCTCTTTCTTGACAGATCGATTACAAACAACTTCGGGGAAAAGTGGCGGCATATATGCGCGAAAATTCTGACGATTTTCTACCATACTTGGCATCACAAACGGGGGAAATTTGCAGCAAAGGTAATTTTAAAGAAAAACTTAAAGTGCAATATTTTATTTCACAACTATTTAACAATCGTTAATCTGTTAGAACAATTCGAAGAGTATTGCAATGGAATAGAAAACACAGCAGTCTGGGGTGGAGATCTAGAGGTATGATACGCATAATCAGACAACTGACTGGTATATATCTGACATGAATTAAATTTTGTTAGATTTCAGCGATTGCAAAACTGTACAAAATCCCTATTCATGTAGTACAAGTCGGTGCTCCTTTGTTGAAATTTTCAGATGACGAGTTTCGAGATAAAGAACCAATTTTTCTTTCATATCACAAGTATATGTATGGACTAGGGGCTCATTATAACTCGTTAAACAAATATTGAATCGTGTTACGAGCCATAGTAGTATAGTTAGGGCATGTGTAAACTGAACATGTCATGCATGCCGTTTATTTAATGTTTACAGCAGAAATAGAGAAAGAATACATAATATCAGTGCATATCTTTTGGTAAAGCAAATAGAAACGATTTTATGTAAGTGATTGAATAAAATTTTTTTTACCTGCTTTCATCATTACAATCTTCTTATGACTGTTCAACTTTTAAGACGAATAATCCATAAGATCAAAGCGCCTTACCAGTTCTGGCGCTTGTTGGCTTTAATGGTAATAATGCTGCTGCTACTCTGCGTCCTTCCTCAGTAAGAACGTTGAAGGTTGACGACGCGTTTTTCTAGATAGAAATTGATTTGCTATCACCGAGATAATCAATTCAAAAGAAAATTTTCATTCAAGTATAACGCTTACAGTATCCAGTATTTCAATCTGCATGCCCAATTTATGGATATATTGTCTGATCTTTGGAGCAATTGGAACGATTGACTTGCCCGTTCCAACGATTAATAGCTCTTACATGGCAACCACGTCATTAGCCGTCCGGATGTTATAAGCTGATATCTAAATTATGTAGAACGAAACTTACCAGGTTTGGGCACAATCACTTCGAATATTTTCATAAAATCGACGTTCCATTCATCAGACAATTTGCTATTTTGTGGAACGTCCCATAGGAATACATCCCCATTTAACAAAATCACTGGGCCAAACAATCGTACATTACTTGATAGTAAAAACCCATCATCTCTGATCTGCTTTACAAGAGTAACGGATCGAGTGGCCGAGTCATCAAACATGTTATGGAACGCTGATGCCATAGATGTAGATGGATCTGTCAACTTTTTTTCATCAACATTTTTGTCTTTTAATTGTTGTGCGGATCTTGTTACGTAAAACCTCACTTTTGCGCCATTATTAAAAGAGCGATTTAAAAGGGTTGCATGTGATAACGTTAAAATCGACCTAGTCAAAGACATCTGATGAATGTTAATTAATATCAACAAGATGTTTTTTCGCAATGAATTCGATTATTAATATGGCAAGATCTACTGCGTCACATCAGACACAACAGATACTTTAATCTGTACATTAGAAATTTATTTCTTGTGTATGAATCATGGAAGGATACTCATATAATGATGTAGCATCAAAGCGTAATACAACACTTAGAAAATCACAAAAAAGGGGAAACTTTCTTCTTCCTGAAGTTGAACAAACACGTAAACTTATTAATGAAATTCTAAAAAAATTGAGGAAAAGGAAGAAACCGCCGTCTGTGTTTCAAGACCTGGAGTTATATGAATTTGGCGAGAGTGTGAAAGTAAACAAACAGCACAACAGCAGCTTTAACAACGATATTACATGTGAATTAGTCAATCAATTGAAAGACGTTCTATCATTTTGTTCAGAGCATGATATAAAATTTGGTAATAGGTCAGTCAAATCAACCAATTTGATAAACTATTGTTATGAATTTATATATCTAATCGATTAACTATTGATTGGAAACTAGATTTTTACCAATTAATACTCCACCAGAGTCACCATATTCATCAAGAACTCATTCACCGAATCGTTCCCGCTCACCTTCGCCAACAAGATTCGGAGGGAAGGCATCCACTGTGCTGGATCGCATACTGGATATTTTATCAGACATCATTTATAACGATTGCCGCTATAAAAATCTGTCACCGCGACCATTTCGGCCTCCTTACACACTGCAATTAGAGGTAATCGACGTCGCTATCTTATTGATTGATCAGAACCCGTATTCTCCAAAATGGCTATACGAACTTGGGACGACGATGATGGCTGGGTTTGTCTACTTTTCGGAAGGAATGCTGTCCAAATTGTTGACCTTCTATGCCACTTCACTTATCCCACAACTTATGGCTTGCAAAGGTCAGACGTCGAGGCCCACTGTAATGGATAATAGAGTGTATGAAGATCTTAGTCCACCGCGTGCGCGAAAGGTTAAAATAGCAGATGGTAAGAGAATTGCGTCCACATTTAGTTTAGTCTCTAACAAATTTTTGAGATGTAACTGAGACCTACCAATTCTTTGCAGATAAAGATGTTAATCTCAGTAACATACAGATCATAATTGATCCGGCAGACACTAAAACTCCCACTATTAACGTTCAGTCATCCGATAAAACAAGCTTTGATGACAATCACGGACCTATATTGTCTGAGGCAAGAGCTCCATCTTTTACCAGTCAACGATCATCTCCATACATATTTGCTTCTTATTCGGGGGAGTCTGGCATGGATGAACATTACATCGATTCACTCTTCACGCCGCTTTTGTATTCAATGCTGCAAAATATAAATGTACAGAAATCAACGCTCGAGACGATTTATCGTATGCATCAGACATTAGGGATAATGATCGAACACAAGCCAGATCTTTACTATGATATTATTGAGATTATTGCCCAAGGTGACGAAGATTGCAGACAGCAAGCCATTAACGTACTGTTTTTTTTCTGGAACAATAGCACTGGACATCCAGCTGTGGGAGAGCCACTTCCGCAAATAAATTACGCAGACGACATGGCCGCTAAATTGGGTGGTGCCCCAACAAATCCTTCGGAAATAATGAAGAATGATGATGCTTTACACAGATTTTTATCGCATATATTTCCAAAAGAAAATGAAACTATGAATGCCAGTAAACACAAATCATTCACTGTTCCAAGAAGGACGTCATTATTGGAAACTCATGGACAATTTCTGCCAACAGAAAATCCAAATTGCTGTATACAATGTTTCAAGCCAGTGTATGACTTTGGTCTTAAATGTGGGGGCTGCCACGTTAACTTTCATTTTACGTGCTATAATATGGCGGATGGTGGTATTGTTGGAGAGTATCTTTTACAGTCAGGAATACACAAACTGTCAACACCACAATTTTGTGACGTTGTAGCGTCTCCGCGCAGGCAATATTTTCGCAGTCAGCCCGAAAGCATGCAGACTGTAAGAACAGTATGTGGACATCAGCTTGTTTTGGTCAACTTATTCACTTTAGTTTTGTGCCTGGTATGCCATAAGCCATTATGGGGAGTAATGTACCAAGGATACCGATGTAAATCTTGCAATAGATTTACTCATATCCAGTGTCTACTGTCTGCTGGTCAGGCTGTATCACTATGTCAACCGTCTGCAATGAGTGAAGCTGATGCAGTAATAGAACACGAGGAGCTGAGACATAGTTTTCTTTCTTACTACGGAAATATTCTCGTTCCTCTCGACGTTATCCCATCTTACAGTGTCGAGGAAATTTCTGTCATGCTATCTATATTGACCATGCAGGATAATATCTTAAGGAATGGTATACTGGCAGGTTGCTTGTTTGTGAGAGGGAACTTTGCGAATCCACTTTCACCAAGAACAGATCAGTTTGATCAGTTTGAACTCCAAGAAACCATTAAACGATACGAGTCTTATCTTGAAAAAATGAAACCTCCTCTCTCTCCACTGTCACAAGAGTTTTGGGACGTTTTTGACGTATATCCTAGTCAGATACTCTCGGCTGAAGATTATATTGGACATTTAGCGGCTTTGATGAAGCATAATATTACTATAGATTTACAAGATGATAACAGCAACCGGTTGAGCGTGAATATGCTTGCACCTATGCATCCTGAACAAATAGTTAATAATAGTCCATCCGGTGTTATTTGGTCCGGAGAAATGGTCAAATGGTTGAGGAATAACTTATCATTTAAAGGAACATACACAGTGGAGGTCTTCATTCAGCAAATGGCTAATTTCGGGTTTATAGAGAGGATTGATGGACTTCCTGTCATTTTTTTTGACAACGATTCAGCAGCTGAAACAGAGTGTATTTTTCCTTTACCTTTTGCAATTGAATGCTCCCCGCATGTTGAATCATTGATTTCTGCTATATCAGTATGTCTTTCTGATATTAATATAGCGATTAATGAATGCGGTATGCTTCTATTGACAAAAAGATGTTGGCCTGATCCATTTTTATCAAAGTATACATTGGAACGACTCATCGCGGCAATCATTGTCTGGATTTGTCAGGAAGATGAGAAGTTAATCATTATTGCCGAAGAGTCCTTAGAGTTTCGAAGGGGGGTTCGGGATGAGATGGACGATGATCAATTTGCACATCAGCGCCGTACATCAAGCCATGTAAACGCTGGCGGTGGTGTATACGTAAAATCCAGAAAGATGCTGAAAGAGAAGTATATCCTTGGGTGGATGAATATTGTTCATGATATGAACCCTAGATTGTTCTGTGATATAGTTTACAATCAGTTGTTGAGTGTGGAAGAGACGCACCCTAGTATTGTACAAGGTATCAGCATAAAGGTATGGATCCGTACTATTTACAAATGCACATTGTCACTTGATATAATGGTAAATTAAAATTTTCCAGGGTGGGATAATGGATAAGCAAGAAAGAGTTATGAAATTAATCGTGAAGCTTGGCAACTCTGGTGTTCTCTTCTCGTCATTGGATTCTATTATGAACCAATGGTTTATTCAAGTTCATCAAATTTTCAAAAATCTGCCACCTGAAAACGTAAGCTCAAAATATATTCTTTTTTCAGAGTCTTCTTGAGTTTACCAACAATATTCTTGATTAGGTTTTTGTAGATCTGAAAGCGTTACAGAAAGTTTTTTCGACTAGAGCAAGCACACGTAGGGAGAGTGGAAGTGAGAGAACGTCACAACTATTGGCTCCCGACACAATCACAACAGATTTTTCCGAACCGTTCCAATTGCTTACACGATTATTTGTGGAACAAAATGTATCTTCCATCAAGTCGGCCTTAGCTTGGATGGAAGTACTTATTCGCGGAGGGTAAGCATCTGTCAACTTTTCAGTAATTTCCGGACATCAAAATTGACGTTACTTCCAACTGTAGTGTTGGTCTTCCTGAATCGATATTTTCGGACTTTTTTCCCTATCTGGCTAATACGAAACCTCCACTTGGCCAGTATGCACTTTACTTAAAGCTAATGTGGTATCAAGTATTGCGCGGATACGGAGCACTTATTAACCGTGGAAAAATAGTACAATTGGTGACAGCTACGAATAACGCGGCCGTTGAGAGTATTAGCAAGATTCAGAATGATGGGGAAGGCAGAGATATTCAAGTGTAAGACGCGTTAAATTTTATTGGAGCTTATCCATCAATCGGTTCTAACTAAACTTTTTTATTACATAGTGCAAGGCAGTTTATCAAAACGACTTTGGCCTTGACATTATATGCATATGCTTGTTCTTTAGATTTTATTTCGGAATTGAATATTGCAATGGCATCCGCGAGTAGTACAAGGTATGTAATTTACTTGATTTATATCTAGAAACGTATAGCCCAGCTGACTTATTATATGGCTTGTAGCGTACAAAAGAGGCTATCAACATTACCCGATCCAACACCTGGAGCCAATCTTACCGAAGATGCACCATTAATACAATTTTTGTTCCGATATTTAACTTTTGATAAGCTCGGCTTACGTGATGATATTGTGAAGACATTTTGGGGATTGTTTAATCGGGCTGGTTTAGTTTATAATAAAGATGACTTTATGCTTAATTGTGTATCAACACTATTACCAAGGTAAGATGCGTATGATGTTTATTAAACGTGAGATTATTCTTAATACTTATGCCATTTTGCGAACAGTGTATGGGAAACATTAACACCATGCTATGATGTATTGTCAGAGTACAATATGAAAATGTTAATGAAATTGGTCTGGCTGGATACGCGTCGTTTCGTTAGCTTCGTTAGTAATCTTTTTGAACATACTAATTGGGAAGTAAGGTATGTCGTTGGAGCATATTTTGAGTTATGAAATGCTTCATGCTCTCAGACATTTCTATTTTGCAATAGATACAAGGCCCTCGATAATCTTTACGGTCTCTTCTCAAAATTGGACGAGAAAGTTGATGTGCAATATGCCGGCCTTTTTGCTTCGTTGGGGCCTGTTTTTAGTTACTTTGTCGCTTGTTTATGGGATCAAGAGGTTTGTAAAATATGTTTACTTTTATAAGAAAATGATATAACCATTCTTTTCTAACATTCTAAATCATGCACTAATTTTAGGAATTTGTGAGAACAAAAGCGAGTACGTACATAAGATCAATGCAACCGACGCACATACGCTTGGCGTTAAAATGTTGGCAAGGATATTTTGAATCTGCGAACGATAGGGAACGAATGATTCTAACCAAGTTTATGGTTAGATTCAACGGGAAGTTTCCAGCATGGCAAGGTGAGCTACATAATTATATATATTTGATGTAATTGATTAATTCTAACGATGACCTTTTATTTTAGTAATTGAATGGGACATATTATTAAAAGCTCTTGGGGAAAGTGACGGCGTCGGGGCTGTATCAACGGAAGATATTCTGGTATGCAGCAGCCTTTTAGAATGATTACTTGTTTACAAATCGTCTAAGAATAGTTTAATGATATGATTGTAGGAAAGTTATATGAGGCCAGATAGTATTCTAGTGATTGGATTAAAGCGGTTTCAAGATGGAGACATAACTGACGCACAGAAGGTTGCTGAAAGTGATAACCTAAAGGTTTGGCGAAACCTCATAGTTGTTTGGCCTTGTCTATCCATTTATAATATCATTTGACATTCACATACTTTGATTATGCATTTAGGTTCTCTTGCTCAATTTATCTTTACAAATGCTTGGAAACGGTATTGAAATATCTGTAGAACGCCTTATGAAACTTAAACAAGTAGTTGCAACATGTCTTGGATTCGCTGAAGTACAACAAGATGCTGTCAACGGAGAAATTTATATATTGCACAGCGAGTTTGAGTATATCCCTGATAATTTCTCACAAAACACGCGGATGCTATCAATACTGAGCAACCTTAAGAAGGTCATGGATACACCAATTTATCTTCAGAAAGAAAACGAACTTACTGACGAGAGTCGAACTGCAGCTGAAACCGATGAACCACTAGTCGGCGGATACTTTGTAGATATTATCTTGAAAATGTTTTGTTCATCTGTTGATCTGGCAAGTCTTAATCACATAATGCTTAAAATTTTCCTCGAGTTGATACTTATAATTGTCTACAAGGTGAGTGTCAAGTCGGATGGTTCTCTTTAAATGCCATCATCAATTAATCATCTTCTTTCCAATAGCATAAAATTGATGACAAGGAAAGTAAGCACCTGGAAGAGTTGTTAGTCACAGCTATGAAAAGAACGTCAGAACTTTTAATACGAGATATAAGCCAGGAGAATAAACAGCTGATAATAGAGCTGTGCGTTTGTCTATTAAAAAGAGCTCCAATGTTGACTGTAACTATCCTAGGAAAACAGATTATAACGTTGGGAAAGCTTATGACTATGCTGAGGAATGATCCTCAAAATGAGATCCTGCAGAGTGCCAAGTCATTCTTGAAAGCAGCCTTTCTCAGGTTTTCTAAAAATGGCTTGTTTGTGCTGATTTTGAAAGTACGTGTTTCAATTGACTAGGTTTTTATACAACTGGATTGATGTTTTCGGTCATTCATATAATTATGGCGCCGTTGGCTCTATCAATTTTATAGAATCAGGCAGTAGCTGACAGCAGCAATACGGAACTTGATATGTTTTGGGTCCTCCGCATTGTTATTGGTAATGAAATTATATCTTCGGAAGATGAAGGCAATGGGCCCGTTTATTTGAAAGAACAGCCTATTAGAGACGTTATGAATCAATTATTCAAGCTAACTAATCGCAGAGTCTTTTCCACGATTCTGTTCAACGTAAACAAATACGTCGAGTCTGTCTATAGTAAGCCCTACAGCGAACAACTTTTGAATGGTACGACATACACGCTGTAGAATGAGTTTTTGTTCCTTATTATGTTGGTATCAACATGTCTTAACGCCCGTAACAGATTTAGGAACGTTCTTTACTAAATTGTCAAAACATACCGGTGATTGGAAACGTTCAGACTGGGATGTAAACCCTGTCTTGAACATGGCTGCAATCATATTAAGAAATAACCCCATCAATGCGAAGGTATGTTCCTTATTTTACTCAATCCCGACGATACCGCTTTTAATATTAACATAAATTTCCGTATCAGAGTTTAGTGTTTCATGTGAGAACTTTGTTACGGCATGCGATTCACAAGTGTACAACTACTGTTGAAGTTATGGTGAAACTTTTGTCCGCTTATAACTTGGCTGCAGAAGAAGCGAACTTGGACGTCGTTAATCCATTTGGCGAGATATTGATAGAAGAACTGAAATATGCTCTTAGAACTGGAAAGTACCGCATGCATATAAATACGTTTATGATTCTACTTCAGGTAAGCAGAGAACCTGAGTCTTCGTCAGATATACCCAAGACAGTTATAACTAATATCTATACACTTTACCTAAGCTTATACTATGGGATTTGCAACCATCCAGTTGTCCACGTTTTCGATCGTTAGAGTTCAAGTCTGTCAACGAATCAGACGACATCCAAAGAAGGCCATATTTCGTGAACGTAGCTGACAGCATCTTTGACGATTGTATAAACTTTTTGGAGAATCCACTAGTTACCAAACAATATTCAAAGAGAGAATTCAATATTGGAATTTGTACAAGTCAATTAATTGTAGCTATGTGCAATAACAAATATGATCTCTTGAAAAAAATTTTCTTGTGGCAAAAGGTAGTAGTTCTGCTTTGTTTTTATTGTTTTCACTGATGACTTTGTTGTGTCGATAACGTACATATTTTGCTTTTTTTGTTTTTGTCACAAAGTCGGTAGACGTCCGAAGAACAAGACTTCTCAATTGGATTCTCTTGGCTATGCTAAAACTAGACAACAGCGGTCTAATCACTACAATATTTGACTTTCAAGATAACATTGCCGAACTCTTATCTAATGCATTGCAATCGCCATTTAACGAGATTCTTAACCCGGATCAGAGCTACCTCGATACTCCTTCTGGGGAACAAACATATCAAGCTTTCATTCTTATTAAGACTTGGACAATACTCTGTGCTCAAGCTTCGCAGCGCACCGATGAAAGCAAAAGTATCGCTGCACCCAGATTACATCGACGACTTGCAACCTCTTTGGCAATGGCAGAGAGACGGTTCTGGAATACTATATGGCCTGTAATGAAAAGGCAGCTGACATCCAATATTGTGGGTAGGGATGTCGAGGTAAGTGAACTTACGTCTTAATTTTGCGCTTGGCCCAACTTTCTCGCGCTCAAATAATCTTTTTTTCAGCCAAAGGGCATAGCATATTGGGAAATGTTTCTGGATCTTATAACCTTTCTTCATTTGAGTGGTTCTGACATTATCCTCCTTTATTCCCAAGAGTGGTGTACTTTATTGGATGATCTCACTTCACCGGTAAGCCTTCCCAACACAGTTTAGCCTAGTTTTGGCAATAAATTTAATCTATTAATTATTTGTGACGGAACAGCGGGATGACAATTCGAACGTATTCAAGAACAAGATAAGAAAAGCACGGAGCATGTTTGACGATCCACCTTTGGAAGCAAATGAAAGCGAATTAATTAAGCGATTGTTTGCAGAAATGAGCGATGCAATGAAATTGTATAGCGAAGTTCACGCAAATCAAGTATTGAGATTCTTTGGTCCGTACTAGATTGTAACGTAATTTTGTTTATAGAAATTTAAAAAATTAATTTTAATACACTGAATATTTATACTAATAAATTGTCAATGAGTTCCTTACAAAGTTTACTGCCGCATATATGTCTATAAACTTGGCAAGTTCAACGAGATTACTTTAAAAATGTCAAGCCAATATCCTCATCCTATCCTATGTTAACGATCTGCATTGGCTTTCACGATACGAAAGAGGTTCGAGATGTATTCTTTTTCAATCACACTTCTCCTACTTTACAGTATGACACTTACTCTGTCATAAATTTTCATTAGCCAAGCTAGTTTTATTATTTTATTCTATGACAGCCTCAGCAAGCGCAGCCGCATTCTGTGCTTCATGTTTTTCGATAGTTGAGGCTAGCACCTGAGATCGAAATGATAGCCCTCTAGTTCGTTCAATTACTTGCTGACAAATTGGTGTATGAATTTTGTTCATAACTACAGTATTCTGAATGCATTCAATAAAGAAAACGTGTTAGATTTGTGGAGTTGGAATAACAAAATCATAACTGAGTATCCAAAGTTGTGCAAACATTTATCTATTTATATATTGCCACCATTAATCATCTAATTACCTCCTTGAAATCGATTTTGGCGTCAACACGTGTATCACGGATCAAGTTCACAATCCACTTCTCGCCTGCTTCGGGCGAGAGATTGAGCGTTTTCGACAGTCCGCTGTTAATATAAAGAAAGGAACATAAATAACTGGGCAGACAATTCATAGTGTCCCAAACCATAACAATTCCGTATAAAAAATTCATATAGGTGTACAGCACTTCTCCCTAGGTGTCCCTCACCTAATATCAATTTTCAAATGTATTCTACAATAGGTCTCTGATATCAAATATCTCGCATTTTCAATAAAATCGTTTTTCGTAGCGACTAGGAAGAAATCGCTTCGCAATACTTCTTCACATTCTTTCAATTTTTTCTGTGCTCCTTCGAAATCAAACTTAATATACAAAGACTCGATGAATTCTGTTATAGGATCTCTGTATTCATATGATTCTTGTTGGATAATTTTGATTAGGTCTTTGAGAATGTTCTTGCGGCGTTTATTTGTTACCACTGCGGTGGTGAGGTAACGAAGAATCCAAGGACATGACGTTTGGATAGTGTTGATGTACTGAGTTTGGAGAAATAGATCAATTATGTCGTCGCGGCCTTTCGGATGGTTGAAAAAGACAAAAATTGACCAATGGATGAACCAGGTTCGTTGTTGAAGTTGATGTAAGGGGGAGACAACGGGCTACCATTGAAAGTGTTAATAAGATACATTGTATAGGGAGTTGTTGTGATATCAAAATACGTCCTAGGCTTACCCTTGAATCAATCGTCTCCCTTAGTCTCTGCAATTCCTCAAGAGCAGCTTCCCAGTTTACGTCCAATATATCTGAGGCTAGCTTTCCCCATAATGCTGAAAGATTTAATTCGTTGTCTGTTGACTATCCAGATTGCAAAATCGCGTTAGAATACGCTCAAATAGTGGACGATATAACGAAACGTAGATGGTAAAATGCTTATTATTAAATAGTAGTTCCGCAGCCTATTTATTTGCGAAAATTTAGATCGGATCGTTGATTTGACTAACCAGAATTCGAAAGTGATATAACATGTCTGATGCGCCGCCATAGTTTCCACAATTGTATTGAAACTGAGCAAGCTGATATAAAGTATTGGCCATTTCCTCGGTCAACTGATTTATAAGACATACATTAAAGAACCCATCGTTAATTTTTATCGTCTGCCAAGTAGTTTCTGTTATTTCCATTGTCGTGAAACCATACCCCAAAATTTTTTTCCAAATAATGCAAATTTTGAAGTTTATCCTGCCGAAGATTAGCCAGTACTTCGGGATTTTCAATTATATCAAGGACCTTCTGAGCTTCTGATTGGAATTCTTGTAGAGTTTGTAAAACTTCTTCACGTTTTCTTGTGAATTCTGAATGAGAAAGAAGTACGCGCTTGAGTATCAGAGAATAAATAGATCGGCTCAAATGCGAGCACATCTGAACTCTGGTGAAAGAAAATCCACATTAAAGCTGACGCCTTTTTGATCAAGTAACAAAACATTCTTTAAAATGAGATACCTTCTGGTGTCTCCTCTGTTTCGTTGATTCTCTTGTGCAAATCAGCTATAAAATCAACCATATTCGTCTTAGCCAAGAGATCATATTTTGCCTTGTACAAGTCCTTTGCAGGGTAAATCTTGAAGAATAACAAGTTGTAACAAGCATCTTGAAAACCAATAAATAAATCATTTCGAATTGTCTGAATTTGACACACACCTCATTTAATTGTAGAAACTCTAGCAACGGAAATACAAGGTGTCTATCCAGATACGGTATCATACGCGGTGTCAAATCATAGTCTGCCATGTTATTTTTCTAACACTTGCAAATTCTGTTCAAAAAGAGCAAAAAAAGATCTAATATACTAAAAATTTTTGATCGGTCGTGTAACGTAACATCCAAATTTAATTCCGTAAAAAATTTTCATGATTTTTCCCTCCTCTTTCATACCATCCGCAAGCGCCAAGTCTTGGTATGTTGGGAGCTAATGGGAGACAATATTAAGGCGAAAGTTCTAACATTAAAGACAAGAGAAGCTAAAGCAGGGTTGACAGGCAAAGATATATAGGATAGAACCGCGATGTGAGCGTTATGTGAATTCGAGATCAATTGACCAGAAAATACTGTAAATGTATAGACTCGACTATGGATGGAATTTAACTGAATAGAGCATGGTTTGCTTACAACAGATTAAAACGAGAGAACGAAAAGCAAAGAATGAAACACCTCACCTTATTGTGTTGATCATCATTGACTATGATGGTTATTGATATCTCAATCAATTTAGTTTAGCGAACGTCAATATATTCTTGACCCATTGCCTATTTTTAAGTTTTCGTATATATTTGTGTCTTTTTCCTGTCTCCCTCGCTTATTTTAGTCGAATTTCCTTATTAATAATTCAACGATATTAACGTGGCTTCCTTTACGTATACTTCTAGTGGCAGCTGATTCCTCGAGATGGCTCACTCTTCGCGTAACACCTTCCTCGTCCCGGGAATTCCTCGTTATTCTCGATCAGCTACGTACAGAAAGAAAGCTCTCCATAAACGCAAGAGAACCGCAATTAAACCTGCTGAAAAACCTGAAGTTGAAAAGTTTAAGACGGTCAAAATTGGCGGGCCAAAAAATGGCGAAACAAGAATTATTCCATTGGAAAAAGCGCCTAAGTACTATCCAGCTGAGGATGTATCGAAACCAAAGATTAGCAGGAAAACTGCAAAGCCAACAAAGTTAAGACAAAGTATCACACCAGGGTCGGTTCTGATTTTGCTGGCAGGACGATTCAGGGGAAAGAGGGTTGTGTTTTTAAAGCAATTGACATCGGGCTTGTTGTTGGTAACTGGACCATATAAATTCAACGGTGTACCATTGAGGAGAGTGAATCAGGCTTTTGTTGTTGCTACGTCAACAAAAATTGATATTAAAGCGGTTCAGGTATGGACCGTTCTGTAATTTGATGGGATTGTGAAATTAGCAGTTGACCAAGTTTGATATTTAAATATTGGTTACATTGCAATTTTTTCGTTATTGTAGCTTGATGGCTTAGATGATCAGTTCTTCAAACGCGAGAAAGCCGGGTCTAGTACGGCTGAGGGAGAGTTCTTTGGCGATGACAAGGTATCGTTCTCATCAAATTCAATTATGCTCATCATTCGTTCCGAGAACAACGAAGTTAATATATTATTATAATTATAGAAGAAGAAAAAGGTCTATCCTGAGACAAAGGCTGCTAAACAAAAGGCTGTCGATAAACCAATTATCGAGGCTGTAGCGAAAGCTCCTCATCTCGGAGACTATCTGCGCTCTAGATTTTCGCTCTCTAAAGGTCAATTCCCTCACTCACTAAAATTCTAATGTTTATTAAAATTATGGATTCGAGATGTCATGTATACTGTACCTAAAGTACATCGTAGATTCCAATGATAACTAGCACTCGGAAGTTCTCTATGGTCGTTTACCAGTTCAATTCGTTTCGTAAAAGTTCTTAAAAATTTCCAGTCGCGAGATAATTAGGACAAAAAAGTACCCAAACGACGTGAGTGACCACGCATCAATATAAGCCTATCCGCATGAATCAACGTAGCCTTTCAGACCTTATTATTGCTTGTATATGAGGACAGAGTAGTGGCAATACTTGTCGTTTGATGATTATGACGCATTGGTTTAGATTTTTATAAAAACAAGTGTTATGAACAGTACAGTTAATCCTGAAGGTTGTATACCATGTAAGGATTAGGCTTTCTCTGTTTATACAAAAGTATTACGATATTACTGACCGCTAAAAGAAAGTACGTAGTGTAAAATGACAACATTCAAATTAATGCATGCGCTTAAATTAGGCCACTCATCATAATCAATGTCCTTTATCAACAAAGTTCCAGTAATAGGGAACGACGTAACCGCTCTACAAAGAAACATCGAGAACAAAACAATGGACAAAGTAATAGATAGTGACGGTAAACCAAGACACCTATCGGAGACTATTAATAGATTGTTCCACTACCATTAATTGTGGTACGCTCGGAAAATTATTAAAAATTCTTTGTCGCCTATATTTATATATATTTCGGCTGCTCGTTGTAATATAGAAACACTCATTCTCAGCTTACTTTTCCAAACCCAATGCGCTTGCGCATAAGTAACAAGCGTGTGTTCTCAGAGATTATATCATATCATTAATACACGCTCAATACACATTCGACATCCCTTGATATAATCAATACATTCCTTATGAATCACTTTAAAATTCTCATCATTTTCAGCCTTTTCATTTCCCTCGCTTTTGCATTTTTTGACATCAAACACCCGTTAGGACGAGGCTCTGAGGAACACTCAGTCGGACAGGCTCCATGTGGTGGAGTTGACACTGTCGGAGACCCGAACCAGCTTGCATTGAGTACGTAAAGGAATGGAGGGTATATATGGGAAGTAGAATACTGAGATTTTGAATATCTTACTGACCCGTCATAACATCATGCAGATGATACAGTCAAAATTAGAATTGAACTTGCCGGTTCAATGACCATCTTTTTTGCGCCAACCGCAGCTGGACCATTCGTTAATATTTCAGGTAAAAAAGCATTCCGTTACCACAAACGGGTGTTTATTGCTATATACTCCCAATTCTCTGACTAACGTCTTCTATAACTCATATTTATGCCAAATCAGTAGCACCATATGTGAAAACAACAAACAACAAAGATGAAATTATCCAGATCCCGATTTCATGTCGGGCAGCCAATATCACCGAAGGCACCGTTGGTGTGCTCCAAGGAGTATACAAGTCATTTGATGGAAGCGTAACTCAATACGGTTGTGCCGATGTGGTTGTAGTTAATGCGCTTTCAGCAGATGCTAATGGCATAAGAGGTGGCTTGACTCTAACAATCTTGGCTGCAATCATCAGTGTTCTCTCTGGTTTGTAATATAAAGACGGAACGATAACGGAATAATATAGAAAACAACACAACACAACATGTAAATCAGCATTCTTGAAATCATGATTAAATAGAAGCTTCGTGCCTTTCTCAGATTATGGAAAACTCTTGCCAATCTTTTTCGACAAGCGGGCTAACCATTTCCGACCACCATGAATAAAAGTTATCTGGGCCGCTATACTTATTGTACCGACGAGCAAATGGTAATGGATCAAATGCCATGATGCCGTCAATCGCAGTTAGCATGGATATTATTGTTACCGCGTATATACCATATACATGTTGGCTGTGCCAGAATTCTAAATTAACTAGACAGACAACGCTTGTATCGAGTAGCAATGTAATATGGGTTGATTGTATAGTGTACTCCTTCTATATAAAGCACAGCTTATTATTAAACTTGTAGAAAAAAAGCTATTAACTTTAATATCGCATTGGATTGTCTTTACTCTTAATTACAGCTTGAACTTTTCAATGTTCGATCGATATGGTATGAATACAAACTTGTATGCAGAAAAAATCCTAACCATGCTCGATTGGATCAAGCTTCATGGTTCATGCGAGTCGTTCAGCCAATTTAAATCGTCTAATATTGTAAATTTGTCATCTTAACGGGTTAAAAATTTGCCTGGAATTTTCGTTTTTCTCTGACGCATTAGCAGACATGACAAAGTACCAGCACTTATTCATATCCAATTATCTCTATGTTCTATCATACAACGCCCTTTAACCTGTTTATATTCCGTATGGCTTGAGCCTTCCGGTCGAATGCGCAAGTTTTATGCGTAGAAATCCGCGTCTTACGTTTGAATGGTTAGCGGGAATTGATTGAATTGGAACAAGACGTATTTTTCTTTTGGCCAGCACCAGACCGTTTGTGAGCATCATTCTGAAGTAGACAGAAACGAGATTCATCACTCTTATCTTTCTTCTCTGGCAAGCCGTTTGGGTTGTTGTTAGGCGACTAAGGGACAATTTCCACATTGCCAAACTTTGTATTTTGACTTTGTCATCCTCAAAGTGCTCAAGGCCATTTGCATTTGGTAGCTTTACACTTTTTCAGACATCCATTTCCGTCATCTGTCGCTCTTCCGAAATGCGTCAGTTGTTGAACAACTTTTATTCACAACAACAAAAAATTAACACGCGCTGTTTATGCTATCAATTTGTGTAACATCGAGAAAAAAGCGTGACCTTAAAGACAAATTATATATTTTAGTTCTCTGAAACTTTTTACAGTGCGATGTCAATTAATAAATACAACCAACTATGGAAAGTCATAATATAAAAGGATTCTGTATCAAGCAGCTGATTCTTTTCATTTTAGGTCTTTTGTACATAAATAATCACTCTATGATTACATAGGTCAGAATCTACTACTCGAGCAAATGTCTTATAAATCTAATCAACACAAAACGCCTTCATTCATGAACCGTCTAGTGAATAATGTTTGTATTCTCCGTTTAATCTCTAAAAGTTTTCTGTATAAAAATGTGAAGTTATAACGTAAGTTCTTATGCAAAGCGGGGAGGAGAGAACAAGCCATAACTAAATACATACCTTTCCCATAATAAAACCTCGTTCCGCCCTCAAACCCTTGGCTCCATAAATTGCACTTGGTATGCAAAGCCTTCCCCAACGGTTTTGGCCCACAGAAGAATACTCCAATATCCGTTGCTGGATACAAATCCCTCATGTTGGTGAATATCTTATCCCAATCAGGGCGCCCATAATGAGTTGGCGCACGTAGGCCAGTGATGGTATCTACGATATTTCCATCATCATTCATCATGATGTTTCCAATGTCTGCTTCCGATAAGCGACCGGTCAGGTATATTTGAATTTCAATAAACTGGTTCAGATCTTGTTCCTCTATGGCTGCCAACAAAGATTGAAACCATTCGAACGCCTAGAATTGATTAGTAGCAACGACAGTTACTGTTAGAGATTGTTCCAAGCTAGTTATTTAGTGCCCACAAGACGACATTATGTTTATATCAACATACTTTATAGTCACGACAGATCCAGAAAAAGTATGCTTTCCGAAGTTTCGTAGAGTCCTTTGGGTAATTGACGCGGTACCTGAAAATTGAGGGCCACGTGTTAACACAATATAAAAGTTAAAACAAATGGAAATTCATTGCAACTGAAAATTGTCATACCAGATACTTTTTAGAATACTAGCGAATGGTGTCACACCAATACCGGCTCCAACAAGTATAGCAACCTCAAATTTGAACACGTCCTCCGATGCACTTCCAAATGGACCATCAACGAGGATCGTCTTTTGCAATGCGGGATTATTAACTGAAATATCGACAGCGGATAAGCCTCGTTTATTATCCTTTGACTGCTTTTCCTTGAGGTCGCATCCCAAGGCCTTGGCTAGTGCTTCGGTAAAATCGCCGACTATGCGTATATGTAAAGAGATATATTCTTCTTCAGGCGCGGAAGTTAGAGTAAATGGATGCCACTCCCACCGAGATACTTCTGGACAGTTGATGAACACGTACTGTCCTGCCTGAGTCCTGATCCCTTCCTTCTTAATTTGTATCTCTAATACTTTAGATGGATGCATGATCACCTTTGAGACATACGTTGGTGACTTGGAGCGTACTTCTCGCAGGATGCGCTCGCCAATATATATAGCACCGGATGCAATCCAGTACTTCCAGAACACAGCTATGTCTTTGCACTTTGGTTCTCTGTCAGTTGGTATCATACAGAACGCACCATGAAACGCCCACGCACCAAAGAATGGGATGAACAGATGATGCAAATACCAAAACCGATTGAAATGGGCACGTCGTTTCTTCTCCAAAGCCGTGTAGACCATAATCAACAAACAAATTAACATGACATATCCGGTAGCGCCTGGACCGGTGAGGAAGTTTAACTTGAGCCAAAGTACTATCCCGCCATTCGAAGCTATCGCTATGCGAGCAAAATTAACCCAATGTGCTGCAGTGTGGACGATACTAAAGAATAAGATAGACCACCCGATTGCTTTGTGGAATGTTATGTTTTTGTCAAACGGAATGACGTTATTGAGCGAAGTATTTCTCAAAAGTGAGACAAGGTTGCGACAGACAGGAAACAATATCATGCTTGCGTCTACGTGGAGAACAAGTGCAGCTGAACGGGCAATTGGATAAGTGATGCCAAATTGGGTCCGTGCATTGTTAAGATTATCGTTGAAGAAAAAGTTGAGGAATGCTAGGCTGAAGACGAGACAGTGTAATATTATCCATACACCAAAAAATATATTACGGTTGCCTGATATTTATCGAGTAAGGACATGACGTTAGACACATTGAAGTATTGTTATCGTATCATTGCGTACGGACTCGTTACCTTCATTGATCATCCATGCCTGAAACTTTTCCGAAAAAGTGACCGGCTTCTTTGAAACTAAATCTTCAGAAAACGGCTTCATGTTCGGTTCCATTTTGTCCAACTCCAATTTCTGCTTGACAGCGTCTCCGCGGGCAGCATAAGCGGCAGGTTTTTTCCCTGACGTGGCTCGACTAAGTGTTACTTCGTTGGTTATCAGGCTATCGTTTTTTGCTGATATTGTTTTCTGAAATCGGCGTTTCGGGTCTTCGGAGGCACCAGTATAGCCGTTAGAATCGTAGTACTCGGACACATAGTTCTCGTTTGATTCAGTGTAGGTAGGAGGCCCGCTCCATTGCCCGTTTGAAGTGGGGGGATAGTAGGCCATGGTTACAGGTTGGTTGATTTTAGGGTCCTATTTGAATTCTATAATATGTATTTTGGCAATTCTGTGTTGTGTGTGCTCGACCAGCGAGGGATTATAAACCATGTAAAGAGAGTGTATAATTTTAGAAAAACAGTTCTGATGACATTCTTTGAGCAATTATAATGAGATCCGATGTATATATGTTTAATCATTGGCTGAATGCTTTGTGGAGGTATGCGAGTAACAGGCGTCAGGAGTGTAGAAAATGTATGAAGTTGGATATAATATAAAAATCGGATGATGGTAAACTGGCGAATAAATGGCGACAGATTCTATTAAATATATCATTACAATAATTACGTTCAAAACTCATTACCCGATATGGAGGGATGCCTGAACATACCGCATGTCCCCGTCAATTCCGATTTGTCAATGAATTGACACTATTCATACAATGGTAATATTACAAAAGCATAAGAAAAAAAAGCATTCCGAGCTGTATTATAATCGGGGTCATATTGAACAACCTTATATTGAATTCGGGACTGAGAGAGCAACTTTCTCGACAACACTCATTATCAAAATATTTGCGGGGTGGCAAAATAAAAAGGGAATTCATTTACTATTTGATTGGTCATTTTATATGGAAAAAATAACGGACGGTCAAACATGCCCCCGTAGGCGAAGTAGAATGAAAGTTAATTTTATCTTACAAACAATAATGTGTATAATAATAACACTTTCTACAATACAGATGTAAAAGAACACAACTCATTACGTCTGGTAAAGCCGTTTTACCTGATTCGCAAAATGTAATTTTTAAAAGCATCATGAAAGAAATGCAATAAATCGCCAATAACTGAGTTGTTAGAGTAAGTAGATAAATGGAAAGCGACTGGGTTTTATCGTTTATTAATTTGGTAGTATCCGATTACTTACTTTAACAATTGACTAATTTGGAAAACAATTGTCATAATTTTAGCCCTAGTTTTCCAAGTTTGTTTGTAAATAAAGCTTTGAACGCTAACTGCTTGCGGATTAGCATTATAATAGACATGACTTAATGTGATTGCTTTATAACAGCACGATTATGCTATTTTGACACTTTTTTACACCATAATGGTGAAATAATTCTAGTGAATACGCGGTATCTCTTACTAACGTGTCAATTAAAACTATAGAAATTTTAATTAAATAATAATAATGGAAACATATCGTTTTGTCTTCTGCGCAATAATTAAAAAAGCCAAGGCTTTCACTAAATTCACCATCTCTGTCAGCAAAATAGTACAAACTCATTAGAAGACACATTACATTGCGTGTACTTTGTCTTCCGTTATCTTTACCTGTCTTAATTAGTAAAAAGACTTTTCCTGCATTATAATCGAGATAATTTATTGTTGGTGAAACGTATTAGTATTGGTTCCTAATCGGCGTGAGGCCCCATGACCAAATCTGAAACGCCTCTATTCAGTAATCGACTGCAACATCTACACTGATTAATTAGTGTTGATAAATATAGATAGAGTTCTCCAGAAAATGATGACGGAAGTAACACAAAGTTGTACAATGTAAGTTATAAAATGAAAAGCGTGATAGATGTCATGCACCAGTGGGGAATTTGTGTAGAGCACAATTACAATTAGACTTTTCAACATTCAAAGAAAACGTGCAAACCATCTTATTTATACTGAATAAACGTTTATATTATTTATGTGTTGGGCGATGTATTTAAAAATCTCGTTTTTAGGCCGCCATCCTCACATTATTCGTATTTTTGTAACATTTCGGACAGACACGTTTGAAATTATACAGAAAATAATACTTTTAATTAAAATTTACTCGTATCATTTATACTTTGGAACATGTTAAACAGACATGATTGAAAGATATACAGACATATGACTCTTGCAATTAGACAAGTACTCGGTTGACTAATATTAAATGACATAAAGTATATTTTCCCTAATTTCTGAATTTAAAATAATAATTCGAATAGATATACGTGTATGAAAAGTACGACTCTCTGTTAGAATTTATGTTATCGATAGCTAAAAGCTGATAAACTGAGTCATTTTTGTACGACAAAGCTTTAGAACTAGTTATTAACTGATAGTCCCTTGAATTTTTTTAATTTTGAAATACACTATTAACGATCGTTCTCTGATAATATTTGACACGGATTGTATTTTAGGTCATACATGTTTAAATAGGAATGCGTCTATGTAAAAACGAATATATGAACTGATTTACAGATATCGTTTTCCAACAGGCAATAATCCCAAACACACCCCCAAGCTTGCTCTCAAGAGCAACAATTTTGAGATGCTATTAAACCCATTGAGCACTTATCACCATTACTATTACTATGAAGCACCTCAAACAACAGCTCACCCATTTATAAGTATAAGATAATCAAAGAGTTGCTATTACTGTGAAGAATTTTCCGCTAAAATTCAGGCTTAATGTTAAGAAAAAGTGTTAATATATAATCAGTTATCTTTTTACCAGCAGAACAACTTACGAAATTCGTTTATCACAACTTGGAAGAAAATAGCAATTTGAAATTCTTGAAATATGCTGCGACATCATTTACACCAAATTATGAGTTCAAAGACTGACTTGTGTCAATATTTTTGCAATGCAAATGCAAGCCAAGACTTACATGAGAAATTTAAAGATTATCTTGCTAAAGCCAAACTAGAAAAAATTTTACAATAAAAACACCAAACCTGCAGAAGAAGAACAAAGAAAACTAGTTGACCAAATTTATTCTCAAAATATTAGTATTGCTAACATCCTTGAGATAGTACGCGAGTCAGGTGATAAATCTTCCTCCGCAGTCGAACAAAACCCCGTGATCAACTTAATTAACTTTAGAATAGTTGCACGCGTAATATAGACGCAAAATTATTATTGTGACGATTTGCTGGAGAAAGATATATGCTTGATATATTTAATGTGTTGAAATAAATGTTGTATACATTTTTATCCACGAAATATTAAATAAACGACCTTGAATGGAATGACTTTCTTTCTCTGTTGAATATGGATACCCGTAAACGGCTCACTCAATGCTGTAAGATTACGACATAAACAGCTAATTCAAGCTGTACGATCGTTATATAACGGCTCATTAATATTAAGCTGTAAAGTATCCATTAACTAATCATGCGAATAGCGAAACGAGAATCTATGATTAATATTGTAAATGATTATTATTTAATTATCAGTACTATTCAGGTTGTCAACTACGCTATGTCATTGTATCTGTTCTATCTCAGTCTCTGTTGTGCTCTCAGAATATCGCACTGGCTTCCTTCTTCTAAGTATCATCGAAGAATGATTCTTTTCCTAAGTAAAATAAAAAAAAGTTAGAAGAGATAGATAAGGAAAGAAGTTTGATATAATTGAGACACGATATAGACCAAGATTGATGACCGATTATTCTTACCACTACCACAGTCAGATAACATGTCAAGATCTCTTAAAGTAACCGAACAAGACAACGACGGACTATCGACAGTATTGCACCGATTAGCGGAATCCTCATTGATTACTTAAGGTTCATCACACGCAGGACGATCGCAGATTTCCCGACAAGTTTAGCACACGCGATTTCCAATCACATGACGCTACACATTCGACGCATGGTTTGTAGCATTCGTGGGGACAAACCCTGCAGTCCCGCAGACGTATCAAAGTCGACGTTCACATTGTTTGCTACAAACAGGAGTTTTGCCGCATTGAATTTGGGCCGCATCCAAGAATTTCAACGAAAATTGTCTGTGAACACTCTAAGGTTGACAAAAATACTGATCTGTCGTCTGATACCATTTTACCATAGTAAAATATCCCATAAGGAACCATTTGCGGACACTCCTAGGAGGAATTCTTTCCGTTGATATCCCCACATTTGAGGTTACATAAATGCTTACAGCTCAATTCGGTTTGAATCTCCTCCATACACGGAGGGCATCCCTCTTGCTGGCATTCACAAATTTGTGAGGGCATTGGTGGGTGCAACCTTCAGGGCGTCGGCGAGAACGCTTACGGGTACATATCCATTGTTCGTCCTTATGGGCCTCAGGATGACATTTACGTGTCCGCAGAGGAGACAGATCTCGCATTGAGTCTAGTATAAAAAAATACGAGTTGGCTCAGAGTAATTTTGCAACAGTAGAAGCAGCAAAACGAACAATAAATGAATTACCGAACATCCACCGTCTGGTGCGTATTCATCAAGGTCTTCACCGAAAAACATTTCATATGCAAAGTTAAGTTTTTATGTCGTTTGCATGAGGTCGTTATGCAGTCACCAACCCGATCTATGTGAAAACAAAAGAAATTGGAATTCAAGTAAATGCGTAAACCAACTCTGTACATAAATGAACAGTGCACTAGTATTATTCAAAAGACTTACTTTTGCGCTTTAATTTATGCAAAACGTCCTCCCAGACTCTGCTTGCCATCATCATTTTCTCATTCTTCAAGATGAACAAGCCATGTCTGGCGCACGATAATGCAAAGTGAGCTCGACTCTCCATGACAATATATTTTGATATTCTACATCAACAGCCACCAAGGGTATAATAATAATATCGTTGTATTGACCGCAATGCAGTGAATGTTGCTCTTGTTTTTTGTCCTGGTCTGCGCCCATAAAGTATTGGTCTATCCTTTGGCTGATTAATCTCTTTTGCCTGACATACGGTGTCAGGATAGTGATCTTTTGTGGTTGATAGCCTTGTTGACACAGATACTTTGCAAATCGAGCAACAATTTTGCCTCAACTCGTTATAATTAGCAGAAATATCTGCCGAACGTTGTTGTGAGAGGCAAATCAGCGCGCTCGCCTATTCCTCGGAAGGGTGTTCGGTGTCGAGGACTATTACGATCGTTATCGTGCCGTGCACTTGAGCCTTTATCGTCATTGTTAATGCCATGTCAGTCGGGCTTTCAGTGCGTCGGTGAACTGGTCTTATCAGCTCAATCCATTGGCTACACGGTTCACCCACATTTGGGAAGCAAGTTTCTCTAGATTTTGGAAATTCATCTGTGATGTTTCGCTGTGGTTTTGAGCAGTCTGCCGTAATAGTCTTTTCGTTTGCTGTTGTCAGAAAATCACCCGATACAAAGATGACGACACCAAAGATAATCTTTAATTATGGCTGGCCATCTTTATCAAACTGACACTGCTGCATGTGATAATTTGTTTGTTCGTTATCATTATTATTATTATTATCATTATTAATTGAATTAAACAATTGTCAAATCAACTGAACCGTCTCTTCATGTGTTGTGAGACAATTGACTGCGGTATTTGAAATATGAGCTGCGGATATGTGGGAAATTACTGCGGTGCAAGAAAAATACCCACACAACCGGTTAAGGAGGTGTCGATTGACGCTGCGGATGAAATATTAAAAGTACGTGCAAGACTGAATTTCATTTTCAATCAATTCGCGACAAAATGTCCACTACTATCTTAAATGGATGTGCCATCGTTCTATCAGGCAAGTTTGAACAAGGCTCTCAATCATATCTCCAGTCAATCATCAAAATACATGGCGGAACGTTCGGCTCAACCATCACCAAAGGGACTACACACCTTGTTGTGACTGAGGTTGACTACGAACGCGAGAGCGCCAAAGTGACCGCTGCACGAGCGAGAGACGATATTGAAATCACCACCTGGGATTGGATTGAAGAATGTATCAAAGAGAAAAAACTAGTCGACCCGAAGAAGTATCTGCCTGGTGGCAAGCCAGTAGAGATGGACATTGAAATAACAAAGGAACAGGATAGCCAGGATGATAATTCAACACAGAACATTAATGAACATGAAACTGACCAGAACGTCCCTGTAAAGAAGAAGAAACGACAAACTCGAAAGAAGACAAAAGATGATGATCAACCTAAGATCGATTCAACCGACAACAACCAAACTACCAACACTGATGAAAATCACGATGAACAGAAGCTTCCAGCTAGAAGGAAACGGCAAACAAGAAAAAATTCAGTGAAAGACAGCGGTCAACCTACGACTGACAGGTCAACTGCAAAATTAAACGAAAATGAGGATGAACAGGAAATTCCGGCAAAAAAGAAGCGACGAACAGGGAAGAACGCAGCGGCGAAAGTTGATGATAATATTCCGACCACCACTACGGACAACGACGCCAATTTGAATACTAACGCGAACGACACTTCCGACTCTAACACGAAAAAGGCCAAGAAACGCAAGACAGCTGCCAGTGACCCCGTCGAAGAGCCAAAGATGGTCACGGTAATCAAAAAAGGAAAAGCTCCCGTCGATCCAAACTTCCATTCTCATGAAAACTATCATGTCTACACGGATAACCTTGGTCATATATGGGATTGCGTTCTCAATCAAACTAATGTAGGTGCGAACAATAACAAATTCTTTGTTATACAACTTCTCAAACATGACAGTGGCGAAACTGGCTACGTGACTTACACTCGCTGGGGGCGTGTTGGATACACTGGACAATCAAAGATCCATGGTCCTACAAGTGAATGGGAAGCAAGAGACGAATTCGAGAAAAAGTTTAGATCAAAGACGGGTAATAAGTGGGGAGATGTTCTTGCTGATCCAAACAATTTTGTAAGTTATAAAGGAAAGTACATGTATCTGCAAAGAGATTATGGCGATGATCCAGACGGATTGGAACAAGCCCGAGAAGAAAGAAGAAAGGCGAAAATACCAGAGAGCAAGTTACATCCGCTTGTTCAGGATGTGATCAGGATGATGTTTGATGTTGGATTATGGGCTGACGCTTTAGTCTCTATGAATTATGATCAGCGAAGATTACCACTTGGTAAACTCTCGAAGAATACTATCAACCAAGGTTACGAGATCTTGCGAAAAATCGAGAAAGTGATTGACGGAGAAGTGCGCGGCAATTTGGTCGAACTATCCAATGAATTTTACACAGTTATTCCTCACAGTTTTGGTATGAGCGTTCCGCCCGTCATTAACTCTGTAGAGATGTTAAAGGGAAAAGTCGACATGGTGGAAGCGCTCGGTGAAATACAAATCGCAACTTCTATTGTCAGTGAAGCTGAGGAGTCAAATACCATCAAACATCCGATTGATGCCAACTACGAACGTCTTAACCTTGCTAGGATGCATCCACTTGACCATGATAGCGAGGAATTCAAAATACTTGAAAAATACGTGAGGAATACTCATGGAGATTCGCATAATTGGTTCAACTTGAAGATTCTTGAAGTTTATGATATAGAACGTCAAGGAGAGCGCGAAAAGTTCAAGAAGTTGCACAATTGCATGCTGCTATGGCACGGATCACGAAAAACCAATTTTGCTGGTATTCTGAGTCAGGGTCTTCGTATTGCTCCTCCGCACGTTCCACATTCTGGCTACATGTTTGGAAAAGGTGTCTATTTTGCAGATTGCGTATCAAAGTCAGCAAATTACTGTTGCGCAAGTGGAAACGATGTCGCGTTTATGTTGTTGTGCGAGGTTGCGCTTGGGGATATGTTGGAATTGGTCTCGAGTGACTATGATGCGGGCAATCGCGTGAAGAACGAAGGAAAGCATTGTACAAAGGGATTAGGTACGATCGAGCCCGATTTCAGCGATGTCACGTACTTGGACGATGTTATTGTCCCTTGCGGAAAGACTGTGAGAAAGGAAGGGAGATATCTACAGTATAATGAATACATCGTCTATGATACCAATCAAGTACTGCAAAAGTATTTGTTGAAAATGAAGTTCGATTTTAAATCACTTTACAGATAATATGAATTAAGGGAGGAGCTAAGACGAATAAAAGCACTCTGGCTTTTTGGTCAGAATCACCAAGGTATACATGCAGTTACGCACGGTGAAGTTTGCTAAACAATATTAAACGTATAGAGAAACATAGGGTATTTAAATCACCAAATAGCATACATGCAAATCATTTAATAATATTTAAAAATTACAAGAACAAAGTCCTTGCGGAATAGTCGAGAACACAATAAAATATATATATGTCTATGCTTTACATTGCAAATATATTCTCACATCGTCCGCCATCCCCCCAAGTCAAATATTTGTTCCAGTTTCCTGGCGACATGTATCGCAATACCATGTGTCAACCATAACTTGCGCAATTCATCGTAGCGTTTCTGATTTAAGAATTGTGGACGACCACGTCTTTTTTTTTTTTTTTGTTAATAGAAATTTAATGTAACGTTAGCTCAACATGGAAAAAGCAAAAGCGACAACGGTAGATAACCTACTTTAATCCCAAGTCGACTTCTCCATGCGTGTCCAAGTATGGTGCATTCATGAAGCAACCATTATCTCCATGTAATAATAGAAGGACGCATTTCTTCACTAACAAGTACATTCCGATATTCCCAGCACAGCTATCAGTTTACCAGGATAGAATAATTGTTTAGTCGATGGTATAATGCTCGCTTAATCATATGCATATAATTACTCATACTTACCACCGCGCATGTATATTACACTCTCCTCCGTCCTTATCTGAACAACAATAACTCTGAAAGCAAACGAAATCTCCGCACAACAAGCACAGAGCAGGATCATGTGGTACTGAATTACATTTCTCACATACTTTCCGAATACTAATCTCAAACAAAGCATCCAATCTCTTCGGCAATCCGACAAGCTCAAATATAGCGGGATGATTTAACCTTATCTTCGCCTCTGCTATGCGTGGTGGCGTCGTTTGACTCACTGGCAGTAATTGATGTGTATGAAACTGTGTCTGTGATGAAGATGAGGATGAGGATGAGGAAACATTAGGTAAAACCGTATTCGCAGTTCTGCTGGTAGACCTTACAGAGCCACGAGAGGAGTCTTGTCGCCAAGAATATAGCCGAGAACACCATCCATTCATTATAGTAGCTAACACAGCATCATTACCAGAACGCGATTCAGGTATCGCAAATATCTCCTCAAGAGAAGGTAATCTAAACAATTTATACAACCGCGTGTGCTCATCCACTTCATCCATCTCTAAGCTTTCTAACCCAGGCTTTGGATAAACTACTCCATATTTTGCATTCATCAGAATAGCACATTTACGTAAGAAGGGAAGAGAAAATGTTTTAACCATTTTATACAGTAATGGCTCGGGTACGTCATTCAAAAATTGTATTATGTCTCTATCAGCCATTCCAGTTGTATGTAAAGCCCACGCTGCAAACTTTCTGATAGACACAAATTCTCGCTGTCGTTCTTGTGCTTGTTCATAATTGGGGTTACCAATGCTAATGCACGGGTTGTCGACCCATCCGCGTGTCTGTGGGTCTATGCTTGATTCACCGATTGCAATAATTATTCTCACTATTTCTGCTATATATAATAGCCGCATTAGATGATGGAATTCAAACTGTACAAGCGAAGCTGGATACATTGATATCTCTGCTAACACTAAGAATGGATCCTCGAGCAGGAAGGGCCCCACCTTTAAATTAGCCAAGAATGAGCCTCCTGTCTTATTGTCCTCTGTTGGGAATGCTGGGTGATCTGCAAATAGCTCTCTAAACCTCTGAGCGACAAATTTCTTCAATTTGACTTCTCCCAATGGCGCACTAACCATTATATTTGTATATTTAGGTATTGTTTCCGACAACACTCTTAACAGGGTCAACATCTGAGTGCTAATACTATCTACTAGAGTGAAACTTGGTAGACCATCTGTCGATGTGCTTGCCACTCCTCTCTGTGCGATTTCAACACAAGTTATCGTGCCTCCAAATAATTCCCATAAGATATCAACAGACTTCAACAAATGAACACGCGCGCTTGGACCTTCCAAGGGAGACAATTGTTCTGACGATATTCGAAGAACTTCGACAAGACGCTCGTACATTTTTCGTGTGTCTTTATCTTCATCCTCAGTCATTGTGGAAGCATCAACCACAGAAGCAGGTGATGAATTGGCTTCGTTGCTACTAATTGAAGAAGTTGGTTGCCTCCAGAATTCATGTACTAATTGATTTATTGCCTCACGGAATCTACTCGTACTACTGCTACTTCTTCTTCGAGGTTGCGGCAAACTAGAAGTTATTTCAAATAAAGCACCATAATCACTGGGGATGCCGGCTATTGCAGCATTAGCAGATACAGGTAGTTGTAGTTGAATCGATTTCTCCAACTTCTTCAAATTCGATGGAACTTCTTCATTAAGCCATGTGTTGAAATATGTTTTTGGTTCTAACACACCAGGGAACATTTCCTTCTTGGTTTTCCAGACTATGGGCAAAAGCGTGTTACCAAGACTTTTGCATAATGGACACATGAATTCTTTGCGTTTAACGTCTTCGGGATGATTACGAGCCAATTGTGACTGATGTCGTTGTTCCAGAGATGCAAAGTATGTCTCAAAGCATTTAACGTGCATTAAGTGTCCACACGTTGACGCATATAAACCGGGTCTACATGATTTTGAAGGAAAGCCTTTGCTGAGTAACGGTTTGTCTAAATTCTCTTCGTTGATACCAGGTTTGTCATGAGGATCATACAATTTAGAAGCAACGCCATACGGTACCGTACGATCATACTTTCTGTCTAAACTCTCAGGCAGCTCAATTATTTCCATCACATAGTCTTTATCATCAAAAGGTGTCTGTCTCATCATAGAGGATGGCTGTATAAGACCGAGCATACCGTACATCTGAGATGCGGTTGTTTCTTCTTGACATACAATGCAGGTGCCGCTAGGATAATGCCATAAAGTCTCTAGCTTATGTACTTCATCGTCATCTGCGTGCTCCTCATCACCTGTTATTTCCCAATCTTCATCCATGTCTTCATCCTCCCCATACAAATCTTCATGTTTCTCAATAAAACTTTGTTGCGCTTTCGCAAATTGCTCCATAATCTTCGCCTGACGTTCTTTAGCTGCCCGTTTCTTACGTTCGTATTCCGATAATTCCGTCTCTTTAGAACCCTTCTGTTTCGACAGAGTTTCGATCTCCTCTCGGAAATTCTTAATCGCGTTTCTTGCTTGATCATTACCAAATTTTTCAAAGCTGTCGATTATGAATTGAAGTTTTGCGTGAAACTCTTTGAATGCCGAATCTACTGAAAGACCAAGCAGGAATTCGAGTAGACTTTCCTTTTTGAGATTAGTTGTTGGGAATCGGTCATGGACTGCATGATCCAAAAACGACGGTTTCTCTTGTGCTCGTGTTGATGAAGTATCCATTGCCCGTGATTTACCTTTTCTATCAATCATGTTTGCATAATCTTTATTTTCATCCAAAAATGCCATCATTACCAATTGTAAAGCTTCATCGACTAACGTATCTGATTTCGTAAAATCCGACTTCACATGCCGTAGTGCATAGTAAATAATCTGATTCATAAGCCGTGTGTGAAGTACATCTCCCAAATTAATATATGGCCCCGAAGTAATGGGTATTAATTTAGGAATTAGAACTGGTTGTGCACTCTTTCCTTGCGATTCAAGCTTCTTTTTTAATCTCATTTTCAATACTTCTTCTGCTTCTTCACGATTATTCCTTGTGTAATGGACAAAATAAGGGTCAACTTCATCGAAAAAGTCATCCTTTAATTCGTAAGTGCCATGATCGGTTAGGCTGTCAGGAGGACGATATGTAGCCAGGTAAGATAACATTTCATCGAACTTTGAATCTTCACTCAGGCGTTCAGGGATGCGCTTAGTAAGTTCAGAATAAGCTAGAGGACCAAGGCAAAGTCCGTGTATTATCTCTCGTCTAATCTTTTGTTCTGGATCCAACCCAGCCGCATTGCCACGTTCGCTCACTAGTACAATCAACAGCGTTAAGAATTCTTCAGCCACAAATATTGACTGAGTGCGATCATATAATGCAGACGTTTGACGACCATTCACCCAGTCTACTAACTCGAATCTGTCTACAATTGTACCAAGTACCAATTCAGGATCCAGGACAACAAGAGCTGTCTGCACAAGGAATAAGTCTTCATCATAGGTATTTTCGCGCAACGACACTTCCCGATAGTGGTGACATTGACCTCTAATACCAAACCCGTTTCTGACCCATATTCCAGCTCTAATCTGTATTAGAAGAACAAGAACCCGAAGCGGAAAATCAAACGCAAGTTGAAGTCTTCTTATGTCTAAATCCGTTATCTCTGAAACTTCGGTACTCGATAGCATCATATTCTTGAAAGAAGGCAAACTATTGTGAGCCAGAATATTATCATCGAGAAGTTTGATATTCTCCAGAAGCTCAGCCAAAAACCAGTGTAACGGATTATGAAAGCTAACAGGCGCTGCTGCAACGTTAAATTTCACGACTTTAAATTCCAAATGTTTTGGGTGGCTACCGAAGCGTATGGTATGAAAGTCTTCACTTTTGGCAATCAGGTCATCGTCATGCTCTCCATGCGATATTTTATCAATGGTACCGTACTTCTTGGCCTTTCGTAACCAAGCAGCAATTTTCTTTCCATCATTTTTGTTATCACCTCTCGTCAAAATCCATTCGTATATCTTCACAAGTACTTGCCGGATGGTATGGATAAGTACTCGAGAATCTACATTATAGCATTCAGACATCTGTCGGCAGCTTTTTGCCATTTGCAGAGTGAGATTAAACGCATGGATCCATGAGTCATTTTCATATTCTACATGTTGCTGTGTAGCGCGTACATTTGGATTCATTCCTTGAAAGAGCATTATAAGGTCCAAATATAGCTTCAAATATTGAGGGTGTTCAGGGATTACTCTTTGCGTTAAACTGGGAGTAACGATATACTTTAAATCGTAAAAGATATGGAAATAGCGACGGTTTTTGAATGCATCTGATTCACAACTAATCCTTGCTTTTCGATCTATTGACTCCACTCCTCCAATCTTATCTTTTGTAAAGAAAGTATGGAGTATAGCGAAGATGGTTGAAGGAAAGTTGTATTGGTTTACTAACATTGTTGCTATGGTTGGAACGGTGAAGAGCTGAAGGGAGAAGAGAATAATGCTATGTTCTGGTTCACGATCTTTGGTCAGAAAAGCCTCGACTAAATCACGATAGTTTCTAGCAAAACGAACACCTATGATTGAAAGCAGAACCAAGGGATGAGGAAAAATAGTTAAAAATTTGTATTATAATATACTGCGGCAACTTACCCATATATTTTTTGTAAATTGGATTTACTACTAGGGTCCCAATGTACAGTTTCCACAAACCCGCTCTTGCTTCTTTCCATAACCTCAAATCAAATTGTAAAAATTGGTCCAATCGTAACGTTTTCTTGAAATCTTCAACATTAACCCTAATGTTGTTAGCTTCTATCTCTTCTCGTGTATAATCTTCATCCATAGGATCAGCATCTTCTAATGGCATAATATAATCTCTTGATTCGTATAATATAGCTTCCGAATCGTTATCATCCTGAATCATAACATCGTCTTCATCACTCATATAATCAGAAGGTACGGTGTCCATATCATCGGCTGCGGTTGAATTTCCAGAATTCGCTTCTCTCCATTCTTTGCAGAGCTCTTCGCAAATCATGTCACGTAATAATGTTGGATGAGAACCTATTTTACCAGTCGACAGGTCTCGTAACCAGTTAATAAATAATCCACACATTGCTTCCCTGAATGTATCACGCGCTGAGCGAACAGTGACTGCTAGATTAATATTTGATATTTTCTTGGCTTGATCAAGCAACAAAGGAAGGTCATCCGAAATTGTAACAATTTCTCTGCCCTGTATGGATAGAATAGATATACATTAAATATTAGAAGCATTAGTTATAGAGATGGATATAATCACTGCTTGATTTTCAATTGCCCTACATACATATGAGTCAACTTTTTCAGCTATCCTCTTTGCATCGAGTTCAGTGCATTTGATGGCGTCTTCGACGTGAGCAATGACTTCATTAAAACTATGCTGTTCGTCATTCCAGAGAACAACAGCGAACAATGTCTCTTCCTCATGTCCCTCATCCAAACCCTTTTTTATACACTTGGCTGCCTGTCTTGCTTCTTTTTTTGCAGATTCGGCGTCCTCGGGCACTTTCATACAATCTGGTGACGCAGAGAATGTTTCCAACATGAAATCTAATACTGTAGATATTGTGCTTTGAACTGAATCAAGAAGATCTTGCGGTAGTAGTGATTCGTATTGCTGCTTCTCGAATTCGTGCAATTCTGACGTCGATGGATCAGATGTATGATAGGCACAGCTAATAGGAACTCTCCATGCTTCGGGATCGCCACAATCACAACAACCTCCCGAACTCGCGGTTATTGAGAACGTTACATTATGGCCTTCATGATTCGTCGCATGGAAACAACGAACACAGAATGCGCAGGTATCATCTAGAGCACAGTTTCTGTATTAAATTTTCACAGAATATTCAATGAATAATGTTAGGTTCATATAGTATGAAGCAAATCGGTTGAATCGATTGTGTGGATACACTTAAACAGCATTGTAACAAATAATCAGAATCGAAAAAGACTTTATATAATCTCAGTAGAACAAACAAGGGAAAACTATTTATTAAATTAAAGCTCGATCTTTATTGTACAAATCTATGCGTGTTAGTCAGACTACAGTTTGAAAGTTTAAGCCATGGTCTCAATCCATCCTAATTCTAGTTTGCCGTTCATTTATCGTTGTTCAATACTCACTTGCAATGATATACACTCTCTCCCTTCTTAAACACGTGTCCACACATCTTTCCCTTATGCGCAGTTGTATATTCTCCCACTTCACTTTGTGCAAAACTCAGTTTATACGTGGACGAACCGTCGCCAGGTCCATCTGGAAAGAATAATGTTTTGTATTCTTCATTCGTCTTCCAAAACTCTGAAAACAGTCTTTCCAAGATCAGGACACTGGCCCTCTCACTAAAGCGGTAGTCAAAAAGCTTCGGACATAGGTTCAGGTACTGCTCGAGTGAGAGTGTTGACGGTTGCGGGTGAGTGTTCATTAAATATGGATTATGTAAAAGAAATAACAAGAGAGAATATAGTGAAAGAAGAAAGTGGTAGTAAAGTGTGAAAGGCGTGAAAGAGGTAATTCTGATACAGTAAAGTCACCTGGGAAACAAATACTCATATAACTATTGCAAGTCAGATGATTGCGTCTTCACCGATGACGTCTTAATGTTAGGATTATATATATAGCGGTCAGGAATTCAGGGGGGTTTACAATACTAATACCTGTTTTTGGCAAATTTCGCTTCAACTCCAAAGTATAAACTAATGCATCGGATCATGTCATTACCACATTAATATTAACGTTGAGCGAAATTGAAACCCGCGCAAGTCTTTTGTCGGCAAAGCACAAACAACAAGTTCAATCGTCAATTGGTTATACATTGTTACGACATAAATTATCCGGTACTGTAACTTGCCTTTGTCAGATCTCACCATAATAATACTAATCAACATTTTATTCGTTTCGATATATATACGTAACTGTCTTAATTCATTTCCGAATTCAGTCACATACTCATTAGAAATTGGCTTTGTTTTTCTAGAAGCATTATCATTAATTCTTTACCTCATAGTTATTCATATATATTTTGCCGCTTTTAGACTTGATCCAGAGTATTAGTATGGGTCGCCCGCTGCACTGGTAATCTTTGCAATTATCGGCCACTAAAAGACTTCTTAATCTCGAGTCAGCAATTGGTTTCTTCCCTAGTCAAGCAATCCTGCTTTTTTACTAATTTCAATTCTCTCTGAATGTATTCGACAATTAACGTATCCAAAGTTAATTAATATAACAGTTTCACTTTTGGAGAGAGATCGACACCTTGCAGCTAATGATTTCAAAAAACACGGTGATCTCATACATGAACTAAAACGTTTACCTCAATGTCGAACTCTACGCCAAAGTCGCATATTTCCCTTACCACAAATATGGCCGCCAACCTGGATTACGTTCAAACAGTTAAATCTAGGTTGGTACAGCTGAACGATTCTCAGGCGACGTTTTTGGATAAATTCGGAAGTGTAGACAATAATTTCACTTGGTAAGAATGCCGTTTCATGTCATACTGTTTCCGCTTCGTTGGTCTAATCAATGCTTCTTACCGCATTTTATCAAGGCCAGACTACTTGTCACTCTTAACCATCATTCTCTCAAAGCACATAAATTTATCTAATACATTAATTGATTCCAATTTGCGCAAACTCACACTATTTCCCAAAGAACCTCTGCCACCTGAATCAGAACACATTCTTGCCACACTTCTCCGTACAAAGCAGATACCCGAAGTATCGAATCTCGAACAGGAGATTCTTTCTTCGATAACTGTTCAAGAAGGCCTCGAGTCGCAGGAGGCTGAGGCTAATTTAGACAAGGAAGATGAGGAACGATGGGATGCATTACTTAAAGAATGGGTAAAGAGGTATGAGGTTCATGACAGAGTTTGCACCGAGGCAGCGAGGATATGTGAGGACATGGTCGGTGCTAGAGAGAGTACGAGAAGATTGGAAGGAATAGGAGATGATAAGACTGAGGAAGAAAAGGATGACATTACGTTGGAAGATGTGCTTAGTTTTATATCCAGTGGAGTACAGAATGGCAAGGGACCTACTGTTATTCGGTGACGAGGGAAACGTCTTAAAGAGTAACCAGTCTTCATTATAATAAAGTGCTGTTCATGACAAATACAATTTAGTATTTGTTCTATGTATTATTAACACGAATAAATACAGCGGCTGTAACTTGAGAATACATATGTAGACGACTACCCTCACTAACGCCGCATGTGTTCCACCAATCTTATCATTCTAGTCATTGGCAAACTCGTTCCAGCACTATTCCTCGGTGGCCGGAATAGTTAGAGTTGGATGAACTGGAAGAGAATATTTTTGAACATGCGCTGGTTGTGAAGAACAGATTTAAGTAGTTTTAGTAATCGAGCGGTCTTGTGATCATTATCAGCATCCATCGTCTTCTTGCGAAACTTATCAGAAGCGACAATTCAGCGAAGAAACAATGTGCGTCAGAAACAAACATGAAAAGGACATGGAAAAAGCTTAACAAGGACGCGTTAAGACTGGATAAGTTTTGCCTCTCAGGCAAAACAGCCGAGCAATTCTCCACACACGCGTTGAAGCAAGTTTGTACTAAACATACGAATTGGTGATTGTCGGAGTTTGAAAAACTCGAAAGGAAACAAAGAAAACTTGACGGTACTGGTCGCATAGAACAAATTGTGTAAAGAAATGGAAGCAGCTGCTTTCAGTTCTCGTTCCTCCATTTATTTGTTCTGTTCATCCCCATCTCGTTGTTTACTGCTCCCTCGGAAAAAATGTTGGGATTATTACTTACGGGCCATTTCTCTTGTAAATTATGGCTTTGTGAATGCTCAGTTCAAACTGTTGGGTTGGCATAATCTCACATTTAGCAACAGTTCAGCGATTCAAGTCTAAACCATTGTAACACTGGTCCGCCTATAATTTCAAGAGCAAGTTTTCAAGTTTTGTCCAATTTTTTTTTTACATTCCTTTATTGTCCCTTTCTCACTGTTTTCCTAAAATCTTAATCTCAGCAATGTAATACAGAAACATGTGACACATTCAATATATGTGCTTTAACTTCCCCTTCCTGTCTGACTTCCGGAACACAACGATCTGAACAAAGCGCATGTTCTCTCATCATTGCAACGTTATTCGGCAGATCGGTAACCGATAAGTATCCAGAGTCCAATACCGAGCTTTAACTCCTTCCCAGATCTTGTCCTCAGAAGGATCAATTTTGATTTCCACATACTCTGTACTTAGTCCAATACTAGCTAGATGCATCTCGGCTATGCGACAATAAACATCATGAAAGAATGGATTCGTGGCACCCAGACCATTGAAAAACGAATATACACCCTCTGGTTTCAACATATTCAGTAATTCCTCATGGAAATCATGTATATCAGCATAAAATTCACCAAAGGTATCAAAGAAAATACCATCGTATAGTTCTAACTGATCTAAGACGTCCTGCCAGCGTCCAAAAATTATCTTTACACCAGGTTTCTTGTCCCATCCATTGGCTAGCATATGTGCATAAACATCGGGATGTGCTTCGATAATCGTGTGAGAACGTGGTTTGTAAGACTGGATATACGAATCAATCAACCCAAGACCAAAACCGACATTGAGAATATCAAGGCCCTCATCAGTACAAATGACTTGAACGTGCCTTTCCATGAGTGGCTTTTCCCAACCCATCATGACCCCATTGTTTTCCGAGTCCAATAGCCTCTCACCGTCGTCTGAATATTTCAACGGCTTGGTCAAAAAGTCTAGGTTTGACGGATCGTCCTTGTTTCTGTTTCTACGCTCAAGCACTCCTTATCGTCATTGCCAACAATTGTAATTAGATTGTAAGGCATGGTAATAAGATCAGAAGCAGAGAGGGAGGTTAAAAATACCTAGTATTAATTCCACTCTACAACCTTCCGCTAATAATTGCTCATAAACTTGCTCGTGGCCACATTCTTTGGCATATTCGCCTGCAGTTTTCCTATTGTTATCGATGGCATTCCACGGGTGCCCATATTGTAATAACAAACTGACAATCTCAGAATTTCCAGCAGCACACGCTAAATGCAAAGAAGTGGCACCCTGTGTATATGATAAGTCAATCAATATGCCATTTCATGATCCGTTATCTTCGTCAAGAAGTCGCTAACCTCTTCTCCTCTAGCCGAAAAGTCTGCTCCTTGGCTCAAAAGTTGTTTGATCAACTCTTTGTTCGCATCTTTTGTTGCCTGCAAGAGTAAATTGCTAAGGTCTTGCTGAAGGCTCAGGGCTTCGCCTGACGCTATGGTTTCCCTTTCAGTGTTATCCATCATTATGGTTGGTTGAAGAAGTTAAAGTTTCTCAGTAAAGTTTAAATCACATGATATTCACGTGAAAATATTATAATTCATTTATTATTATTATTTATTGATAATTAATTCATTAATTAGTTTTTAAATCTTTCTTATTATAATCAACCCTTGCCACGTAGGGAACCATGCTAGTTAACCACCTTACTTCACATACTTTGCCTTCCCCTGTACTAATTGCTCTCAAATACTGATTAAATACAATCAAATAATATGAACTGAAGGCGGCTAGAATGTGCCACCAACCATGTAATTCTGTGAGAAACCCAATATATGGACCAACTGTTTTTCTCGTGTTACGCAAGTGGAAACAGGCCATGTTATCCACATTCCATAATAAAAATCCCAAGACAAACATACTCAATGACTTATAGAGCAAAGACTTCATTATTCGTTTTGATTCGTTTTTCGGGTAATTGATCAACAAAAAGAGGGTGCGCAACATCAAAGCGGCTACGAGGACGCCATAGGCTATCTGATGGAAGATTGGAGTGCGCACATAAAGATATGTCACCGTGTAGGTAACAGAGTAGCATATTAAAAATAGTGGGAACCAAAGCCCGTATTTTCGTTCTCGTTCTATTTCAAAACTATCAACAATTATACGTTAGATCGAATAAAAAACTTTGATTTTTTAAAAACAGACCATCTCGCGGAACAGAGATAATTCTTACACGTTATACACCAAAATACTCGACGCGTAGATCACTATGATGGTTCAAGAAAGTATGTTAGTTATACCAATATGGATAGATAGTCGCTGGCGTTACTCAGAAAATACTTACTTGGCAATTCATCTAACAACTGAAATTCGTATAACAAAGTCATGTGGAAACACCACGATCCAAAGCTGACAAGCGCCAACGCAGCATGAGCCAGAATAAAGCGTTTATCCAGACGATATTTTAATATCGTATAAACACCAAAACCAGCAAAGAAGGCTTTTAAAGTAGAAGCTGTCAGCTACTGCTCAAATAAACAAATCAAAGACCAAGAAAACTTACCAAATATAAGATTCGTTGTAGTATTCACAAACTCGGCAATGTACGGAAAAACTTTGTAATTTTCCTTAATAGAATACAACAAGTTTTAACAAAGATCTTTTCGTGTTCCGTACAGTAAAATAAACACATAGCGAGGCTCACCTCACACCAATCTAAAGTAGCGGTACTGTGAAAAGTCGAATAGAAGAATACAGATCGAACTTTGCATGAGTAAAATGTACTAGCGTTTGTGCATAAAAACGCAATAAAGCGGACTCACATGGGACCCCAAAACGTCGCTTCCATCTCTATAGACTTCTATATAAAAAACATGGAAAGTTGATTTTGGAAGGACGTTTTAAATGAAAGTTTTGCGCATGCCGTAGGGGATAATCACGTGTTGTGTATACACGGGGAATGACGAAAATATGCGCTCACAAATGCATTTAAATGCATTTACAGTCTATATCGGGACGTTTGTCAAAAACAATCGCAATGATATTTACCGTATGACTTTTTTTTTTCGGGCCTTTTCTACAAATGTCGACTTTCTCACATAACAATGACGTTCGGGGAAAAGCTCATCCGCTTTTACAATGGCATGGGATGTGTGCCCCGGAAGACGCAGCAAATTTGGCCGACGACAAACTAAGTGGTATTCTGTTTATCAACCCAATACTAATACGAGATGTATGAACTACAGTCTCGATAAGTCGGTTCATGGCTTAAATTCGGCCAAAATCTTCAGCTGTTTTCCAAAAAACTGCGAGTCTGAACATATCCCAATAAGTCAAGGTCATGTGACCATGGGTACACATTTATTATCATACGGCGTAAATAGTCTTAAAACAAGACGATTATCGCTAGTCTGCGGGGTCATTAATAAAGGCTTAATTATAAGGCTTATTGACTGCGTACTTTCTTCCGCAACAGTCATATGATGTACCGACTTTTACATCGATGAATTGAAAAAGCTATCAATTAAAATTACGATTGAATTAGTGTAACTTTTTATTGGCCACTTGTTTGAGAAAATACAGAATGCCAGAAATCAATGTTTCCTACGGTTTACTAGTGAAATTATACTTTGACAGCAGAGCCTATGATAATGGTTGCCATAATTGTTCACAAAATTTAGCTTCACTCAGCATACGGCCTGCTGCGGTATTCACGAGCTTGTGAATTTCACGCCAACTTAAAATACTAGTTGCTTGGAAAGCGCTATTACTATGTACTGTATTATTAATAAAGTAATAACGAGCAAAGTTATGTGACTCATCATATGCAGTCATGCTTCGTCCGATATATCTGAGGTGGGATACAACTAAGGTATAACATTTCAACAGATAATATCGTGCTTTGACCTTTCACTGTTTTATCTAAGTGCTTAATCGTATCGCGCATCTATCTTATATCATTTTCTGTCGTAAATTCTCTTTTGTTCTAAATACTTCCTGGCTGTCACAAGTGCTTCCTTTTCCACCTTTACAGAAATACTTGCTTCTTGCTCCTTCTCCGAGCAAAATATTTCAAATTCAATTAGTAAATCATAATTTTGATATCAGTTTGAGTTGAGATCATAAAAATGTACTTTTTACCAGTAAAGTTTTACCTGGATCGTGAAATTAGTTGCACGTGCACCCATAGGGTGAGTATGTATTTAGAGAAGAGTCGACTGTATTCTAATTTTCGTGTCTCTATTATAATTAGTTCTCGGCGTAACCAAGCTACGCCACTTTGGCAAAAAAGTCAACTGTTACGGTTGCGCGGAAACTCCACAAAAACTGAAGAAAAAGTCAAGGACGACCATTAAAAATTATTGCTTGATTGAGATAAATGTTTATTGCTTTTCGAGCTACTGCTGTTTATAGAATTAGTGAGTGCAAAAAGTGAATGATTAATTAGTCCAATAACAATCACTCCTAATTTATTCATTGAACAGAATTTTGAGGTTTATTCTCCTTAAGTTCTGGTTTTAATATTTTATCCTCGTTCTTTTTGGCGTTTTGGATAGAGATTTTGTCTCGGCAAACGAGCTTAGTAGGAATAGTCACTAAAAATTTCGTAAAATGAAGAAACTTTATTAAAGAATAATTTATGATGATTACAAATAAGAACAAAACCTTGCATATCGGCTAAGATCTGTAGCCGCGCTTGTAAATAAGAAAATGAGTTGCTATAGTAGCTCGAATATAATTAACCAGTATGTTTTCGCTTTATTGCTATTATTGGTTGTTTGAGTTTGGCATACTTTTTAGAATCGACAGTTTTTCATATACTCGGTAGTAAGTTACAACATTAAAATTCATGTCGACTTTCACAAACATTAATTGTGCGTAAAGATTAACTTATTATAAGGAACGAGCGATTCTAATTCTTGAGTGTCATATCTCATTGCTCACTCAGATTTGCAGCACGGCACCAACAATTACGCTTCATTTGTTGCGCTTTACCAAAGTTGTTTCCGACAAAGTTATCACCAGAAAAAATTCTAGTATAAGATTATTTTTACCAAAGGAGATAAGGAATACCGTAATTCTTTAGCACTCACGTATTCTGTTCTTATGTCTTTATTCTTTTTGAAGTTTGTTAGTCAATATACAAACTGGATTTGCATCCATACTTTTTCCGATGTGCACCTAAAAGATTATGTAAATACAAGACAACAAAGGTTAGTATCTATCAAGAAACGAGTTTCTTGGCGGTTCTTTAGTAAATTGAGTTAAAACTTATGTATTGTATTAACAATTTTGTTGTAAAAAAAAAAGCATCCGCGACAGCCTTTTGTTTTATCAAAAGTCAGTAATAGAAGCAGATAGTCGGCTTTTTGAGTGGTGATTAATCCACTTAGCAGCCGATTAACTAGCTTTTTTTATCAGCAAAATTAAACTTTTTATGCTCAATTTATCCACTAGAGATTCTGATGAAATAATCCAGTTTGTAATTTGGGCCAGAGCATGTGATAAAATGTCATTAACGGTTACTTATTACTAAGCTTATTGTATGTAATCTTGATAAGCCAGATAATAATTTCTGGCAATTCAACCAAAGTTTGACATTTGCTAGATGAGATAGAGACAAAGCAAAAGCAAATTGAGTATAAGGAAAAGGTAATAATCCATAATTTTGTCTGAGATACACGTTTTATAAATGAGCAAAGTCTGTATTATGGAAACAAATTATTAGTGATTGAGTCAAACGATACATGTGATAATTTTCTCACATGGCACATGTAACTTAGGCTCTCAATGAACATTGCATTTGCTTATTTGCATTAACCCGCTCATTGTCTTTGCTGAGGTTTGAGATAAGATGTTAAGTTCATTCACGACGCGACAGTTGTTTTCTTCTTCGTGATCAAATATTACCAGTTGTGGTTAATGCCAGACACATTTACATTCTAGTCAGCCGATTTTGGTTTAATAAAAACATAGTCTTGCGTTTCCGGTTTAACGAGTTTTAAATATCTAATATAAATAAATTCGAGCGGATAAAGTTGATTCTAATCTTTGAACGCTTTTTTAACAAGGCTTTCTGGGAGTATTGCCACTGCCAAAAGTATAATACATGACAGTCAAATGGTCATCTGACAAAATCAATAAATATTGTAAATCTCTATTTAAACGCATGGTGCTCGTTATAACAAATTTTCTGCAACTTTAAGAATCCGTATAAAACATAATTCGATATTACGAGCTCGTCGATATAACGGAACAAAGCGCTGGTCCCGACGACGTTCTTTGAAAAATCGTCAAGATTTATCTGCCTCCTTTGTTCGACGCTTTTCGTAGTGATTTTCTTCTTAGTTTCCCAAATGAGCAAACTCGCGTCTGCGTCAAGTCCCTCCGACTTGTAAAACTTTGAACGCTTCCCGAACAGATACCTTCTTCCCTTCCGCGTTTGTAGTTGCAATATCAAGATATGCGAGACAGTCTGCTTTGTAATTTATACTTTCTCGCCATATCTTTTTCGTCGAATGCAGAATTAGCTCTCATGCGTTCACATGTAATGCTGTTAATGTAACGTGGGTTCCGTTCAATTCTATCATTTACTGAGAAGTATCTTATTTAAATAGATAGGGCAAGGACAATTTGAATGTTATACTTGATTGCGTAAACAGACTGCGTTATACATATGTCTAATGCGTTCCGACAAAAATTAGCCCAAAACCGTTATATCACCGTATAAACGGCCTTCTGTCGCCGAAACAAAACCTGTATACGCTAAAATCCATTATACTGTTGTATATCGACGTTCACTGTGTCTCCCCGTAGAAGAAATAAAAAAGTTTCGGTCAGCGACTTGACCATATTATTGTTGATGAAAAAACAATCATTTATTGAGGTGTGTTTTAGATTGAGAATAAACCTTGGTTTCATTACAAAAGCATTAACCAATTTTCTGTATTTTCTTCTCAAGGTGAGGAAACTGTTTCCGACAGCTCGCTACCTACCACTTTAAGAATCTGTTCAACAGTCAATCGTCAATATGCAACCAACACAGTTTGTATGACAAACTCGATCAACAATGACAATATTCTTAACGGAATTAAAGAGCTGGTAGATTACGAACGGGGAACCCTCAAGACCCTTTTTGATTAACAGCAAATTCTATGGTAGTTAAAGGTATGGCGTCACTACCACCATAGGCTGTATCCTTATTTTATTTCCATTTACGTCAGATCACATTGGAATAGCGCATGTTAATTTGGCAAGTTTTGTCATTGCATCCAGTAAAAAGACATCTTACGATTACGGTAAACGGATATTAATATTTAGCGCAGACCATACAAATCTCTACTCGGTTTCAAAAAGGAATCTATTCACAACGTAATACAAATAGGTTAATTAAAGTGAATTTGCGTTTAAAGGATAAATAATAATGCTCGCGACATTACTACCGATTATAGGTTTATGTGGATTAGGGAATGTGGCCATTATAAAGTAAATTAAGTGCTGTAATTGTGCACTCAACCCACCTCGCCCCTTTTTTTTGTATAGTCGAGTTTTACCTATCAGAAGACTTGCTTTTACAAAAACCACTTTAATGAATGGTACGAAATCATGTCTTTCTTCAATTAAAAGGTCACACAATGTTTCAACTTTACGATAAAGTTCAAACTTTTCGTGATACAAATTAATTCACGATTACGGATTTTGGGTAACAATCTACTTGTGTTATGAAACTGCCCATGTTACTAATCAAATTGGAAGTTAATTACTACTCTGAACACAATGTCGAAAAAGCCCTCCAATTTTACTGAACGTGGTTCATTTATCAAAAAGGACTATTTACGTTGATATGGTTTTCTTTTATTTCCGGCGAACGGTTTTGGTCTTGCAAATGATGATGTGATGATTGTATTATTACAAAAAAAAAAAGAACGCTGCGGTACTCTCTTGCTATGAACGGGTGAACAATGATAATTTATGATTACACGAACACTATTTTCCAATAATATACGTCTCCAAAAATCTCGCTTCTAGCGATAGCTCTCTATCTAGTTAACACCCCACCTTTCTTCCATCATTCTTTCGTTAATCGTTCTCTCATGTTACCAATTGTATGGCCGCTACAAAGTGTCCCTATTTACATAATATTTCAATTTTTAGACCTTTAACCCACGAGTATCCTGTGACTTTACTTTGTTCTCTCCTTTAGCCAAGGCCATCATATACATAAGACATGAAATGCACATGTATAATGCCGGATTGACGTTTTGATAGTCGATAAACGAGATTGCTGCAAAGATGAGATAAAGTACTATGCGAGGAGTGTATGTTCTCGTAAAGAAGGTATCTTCGAAAATTGATAGCGGTGTTTCGATGGCCAAGATTGCCAGTCCAAAAACTATGCAAACTATCGCAATGACGTTAACTGGAATAACAAAGGCATTGAATATGCTATTTATAGAAAGATCGATTAATAAAGAGAACAACGCAAACAGACTGTATTTCGCGAATCTGTTTTTTTCTTACCTCGTCACTTTTTCCCACATGGAAAGCCTGTAAAATAAACCGAATACCCCGCCGACGACTTCAACTATACGAGACAAGTGATCAATGCAAATATTAGTGGATATGCCTCATCATTATCATATTACTTTAAGAGATACTTACAGAAACCAGCAACCATGGCAATGAGGTTTGCCCATTGACTCCACACAAGTTTTCCCATTTTTTTAGTAAGATCAAACGCGATGTATCAGTGGATTAATTGTGAAAGTGAAATATGCATATGAGAGTTCTGCGACGATAATGATGGAAACTTGAAAACCAGTTTCAAGTTGTCTTTTTTTTTTTATCTATTTTTTAAAAATCCCTTCTTTCCGAACCGAATGCCGTAAAGAATGAATTTTTGATAATGAGTGGAAAAAGTGTCGTTATATATATATTTATATATTTATAGGGCTTTTGAGACGTTGTCTCCCGTTAAAAAAAAAAAGTCTTGTCACCATCTGCCGTGTCTTTTTATATCGATTTCCAGCCCAAAACCCTCATTGACTGGGTCGATGCGGTATGCAACGGGTAATAATAGTAAATTAATGAACTTTGTCAATCACGGCGGACAGGTGTGACAATAATGAGGTTTCATCTGAATGGAACTTGTAAGATCATTGTGTGAGAGTACAAAGAATATGATCTGCGGAAGAATGTATCTAATATGGGAGTGCCAGTATGTTAGAGGAAGATAAAAAAGAAACAAACAGATGTGATAGGTAGAAAGAAATAGTTTTGACAAATATGGTCGGGATTTATAATAATGATGAAAATAAGGAAACATTCCGTCTTTTTTAGTCTTCCGATTTATAGAAAGTTGCTAAATAGATTAAATGACAAGTTCCACTAAATTACATACAGATATGGGCTGACTATTCCAATGATGCTAACTAGTTATTTTTGCCACTGTCGCTGTTACGAAAGACGTTTCAGTCGGATGATACCGTTTTGGATATGAGTTAGCAGATTGGTAAGTCCGGTACGAGCCAGGGTAAGTGATAGTCTAATTCGGTCTCTTTTGTCAGACCATAATAATAAAAACAATCATTTGATCTTTGCTTTATGTTATGTATTATTAGTAATACGATTGTATTTAATTGTACTACTCGATCAAAGTTAACTCCCTCTTTCTATTCTTTGCATACACATCTTTATATTCGTTCCATATTTGATATAGCCCGTTAATATATTTCTTTTGGACCTCGAGAACTTTCTCCTGGCTAGGATTGGGATCACGCTCAACGTCAATTGGCTTGCCGATAACGGTCACAATAGAACGACGATGAGGCAAGAGTCCAAAATCGTCTGGAACAGGACGCAACAATTCTTAATTACGAAACTATATTCTCAATAAATCACATATCATAGGTATTATACTCACAATTAAATAATCCCCTTCCGTGAATTAAAGGTATTGTCCATCCCGACAGTTGTTTCACTTTATCCTGCACCCGCCACAACCTACTTCCCTTTTCATTGGCGAACTGTTCCCAAATATCATTTTCACCGAATGAGAATACAGGAACTAAAGAAGCACTGCAGTTAAGGATTAGGTAATCGATATACTTAAGTTAGCAAATCGGCCATGCGATATGAGATGTACTATTAGAAATCATTATAATAATCCATATGACACTCATTCTACCAATATGGTGCCATTCTAAATTAACCTAACCTACTTCCTCACATACCAACTTACCCATTATTGATAGCCAATTTGACGAAACCTAATCTCTTCAACAAAGTTAAATCATAAATTCCCGGACGAGCACTTAGACTCTCTACCGTACCCCCTACAACAATGACAATACTATGTCCCGGTCCATGAGCAAATATGTGTTCGGCTGACTCTTTGGATACGGACGCAAGCCCTTGCGCCAACAGAAAATCACGATAAAAAGGAATGTTGAAATTTTTAAGCAAGGTAAGGAGATAAATGGTTATTCCCGGGAACAATTTGGAGAAATCGTTAGCCTCCGTTGCAAAATTTGCCCAGGCACTAAGACATATTATACCGTGTGGATGAAATCCTGCATGAAAAGAAGGATAACGGAGAAACGGTAGTAATTTCCACCCAAAGTGTTATGGAGCGTTTGAATAGAGTCAGAAGAGAGAAAAAACAATTATAATGATTGAATGCATAATCTCGTGATTATTCACCAAATACGTAATTCTTTGAAGGATCCAGATCGGCCGTCTAACAAAAAGAAAGAAAAAAAGTTCTTTATTGAAGCGAATAATCGCACTCGTCTATACACATATTCTCAGCCAAGCTTTCTTCCCGACATTTGACTTACTTTAACCAATTTGATGGGAAAATAATCCGCAAACCATTTCCAAAACACAGACTTTCTGGCAAACTCGAATCTCCTTCCGCCATTCTCTGGAGCGTAATCAAATAGCAAGAACAAGATATACGCAATCACCAACGGCCAGAAGAATGGTGCCGTGCAAACGAAGAAGAAAAAGGCTACAGTGACTGGGAGTGCGATTAGCCAGAGAAACACTGCCGTTGTTTGACGGCGTCGGTCAAACGGAACATTTAGAGGAGCGATACGGATTGGAAAGCGATTCGTCATGTTTTTCAAGAGGAGAGAATGGGAGATATATATAAGTAATCGACTTGCTGGTTAGAGAGAAATGGTTGAATAAAATGATATGTGCTTTTTTGAAATTTTAAAAATTTGGGATTTTTTTTAATATATGTGTGTTGTTTGTCTCTACACGGGACTGGACCTGCTCTCGTATGTTACATACAATTGACTCTTAATGGTTGGGAGGAAAAAAAAATAGTCCACGACGTTCTTCTTCACTTTACTTTCATAAAAGAAGCTTGCCAGAAACTCCTCTAAAAATTTGTTGTGAAAATTCAGAACTAAGCTGTAGCTAGTTGTTATATTTGGTTATTGAGCAAATAAAGAGTGTTACGAAACCACATTTTACCGATTTTCACGTGTGAGTAAACTTTTAAGCTACTATATTTGCGTTTCCGGGGCATGTGAAGTCAAACCTTCTTTGTGAAAGGGAGACGATCTACATATGGTTGAAATGTATATATAAATGATGCATTTTGCGTGAATTATCGAACGCTATTTAACTACGAGCCACAGGTTCGCATCGGTATGTTTAAATGTAAGGCTGTTACTGGCAATACCATAATAACCAGCCATTTTACTAAAATGTATGAAAGATAACTTTCCTTTATTGACGAAGCCGAATAATAATAAAATCATAATAATAATGGCAATGCGACTGTCTAAATTTAGTTGACCCATTGACGGATTAAGGTGGGGTGGGAATAGGCACCAGCTTGTAAGTCGGGTGGGGTTTCCCAAGTAAATCATCTCTATTACCAGAGACTACAGAACTCTAAGTAAAAACTATCACTAATCCATAGTTTGGGATGCGGTTCAAATTGCATTGCACTGGTCACTACCAATAAAAGTGTGAATATTCTTTTAGTGTCGGGTATTTTCCTTGTGCTCATTGGAATCGATCGGTAATTTTACAGTTTAGATAGTTGTTTCTAAACCCTTATTAGCTTTATTCGGATTGTTTACGTTTTGCCTTACCATAAATGTTCAACAAAGCCTGTACCAGATCGTTTACTGGATGATACAAACAACGTTCCCCAATTAGTATCATGTTGTATATTTTAAAGCCTTTTCTTTTTTATAATCAACGCACTTGCTATTGTCCCGTAGATGCGTCGATATGCGTAAACTGTTTCACTTTACAGTATAAGGAGCAAATTATTTGTCAGATGACTTGAATGTCGTTGGTAACGGAACTTCCGCGTACCAGTTTCTACCTCACCCAATAGACTTTATGTATCACGAATAAATAAAGTAATTAGAATTCTATATTATAATTATAGATATGATAACAAAAAACGAAAAACACTTGCCAGTTACAGTAAACACTTTTCGTACTGGAACGATTACGTAACTGTTTCCCAAAATAAAACAAAAAATTAAAGCTGTTATTTGTGATTGATCGGGTATGCAATAAAAGTATTTGTAGCACCACAACAGTTTTTACGGAACAAAATTGCTGTCATTCTTTTCGTTATACAGATTTTCAGGTAACAGTGTTAATGTAGTAGACGTGCTTCCTTGTTAGAAGTAGAGAGTATCCAGTGGCCTTTTGATTAAATATACGTGTTCCGCCGGTTAATTTTTCGTTACACATCAGCTTTGTTCTAGAAGTAAACCTCGATGTCGAATATAAGTTATTTATATTTAGCCGTTTTAAGCAAGGACTATAATTTATTCCTGCAAAACTATGATTACAAAATTAATGAGTATATTTTTAAGGAATTGTGGACATTGGCACAGGATAACTACATCATTTGGAATATAGTGGAGATGGGGCGAGTAAGATTGTGTCAAGTTATCGATCAGAAAATTAACGTACTATTCGAGGACATTACGTACATTTGTTATCGTAAAACTCGGCGAAGGTGTTATTTATTTCTTATCATTCTTTAGCGTATTAGTTAAAGTACTTTTTCTCATCAGAATCTGATTAAGCCATTACAACATCAGAAACGTTTGAACACGATAAAATGTACAAGAAACATTATTACACACTCGAAATACAAGTTGATGAATAGTGGGTAACGAGACTGAAGCTTTGGTCAAATACTTGAACGCAAATAACCGATGCTTTCTTAGTTGTGATCTTCATTAATGTAAAGTAATAAATTCATGTGTCGTACATTACGTAATAATACATTATACTTACAAGACCTCCAACAAGAGATGCAACGCAACTTTGAGGTTCAGTGGACGTGATCTGAATATAGTGGATTGACCTCGTATAAAAGAAGGTTTCTTGATACAAACAATGTTAATATTAACGTATCATGGCTTAAACATTAATAAATTATCTTGACGATGAATACAAACTGTTTGTATTATGGTCGAATTGATAAGTCAACTACATTGTTACTATTTACTATGCCAAGATTGCCTGCTTGACGTAGTGTGTCGATATCAATAGACAACAAATGGTTTTTCTAAACTGGCAAAATTTTAATTCCATTAGTATTAAATGTAATAATAATAAATTTAGTTTAACAATCAATTTATGTAAAAATTTTGCTAACGGCGTTTACAAGCCCCATCGCGGCCTTGCAGCTCGAGGCAGGTTGCGTCGTAGAGAGGCTTGTCTCCTTTAATCAAATATTAATACAAATAACTACAATAATGAATACAATGTTATCGAACAAAACTTACTGCCTGCCGCGTGACCTTGCGACTGGTTGTGGAGGTTGCGCTATGTTCGCCCTTTTTAAACCCACAATTAAATATTCATCGTAATAATTATAACGTAATTGAACGAAACTTACTGCATTGTTGGTGGTCTTGCGGCTCGAGGTGGGTTACGTCGTGGCTGACGATTACTGGCCTTAATATTAAACGAATATAGTTAAACGTCTAACTTATGATAAAAGACATTACTGTCAAAACTTACTGGCTCCTTGTTGGTGGCGGCAGTTTGAGGTGCTATTTCAGAAAAAAAAAAGACGTTAGTCAAAAGGTTAGTTCTTATTTCGTTTATTTATCTTGAGGTCCCCGAACTACAGCGCTTCTTCGCCCTGGTCTTCTAGGTGGGTAAGCGACAGAAAATAATATGCCCTATATAAACAAAAAATTACTTTTAGTCGAAATAATATTACGAATACAGAAATCGTTTATTTACTTGGGTTTCGAACGTCTACCCAAGGTCTTCTCGCGGGCAGGTTTTTAGCTGTATTCTACTCATTGAATTAGCTGCCCTTGTAACCCATTATGAAGTAATCTCAGGGCGTTCAAACCCGGCATTGCACGACATTGTTGATAACAGGTGCGAGAAGCGGTATACCTAATGTAAAAAAAGAATAAGAAAAACAGATGGTAGGTAATATCCTTGACCAGCAGGGATAATACCGGTTAGTTGACAACAACGGTAAAACAAAACCAGCGTATCAAAATATCGCTTCCAAATGGAAGCGAAAATAGTTCGAGCTTGTTCTTCGTCCTTGATACCTGTGCTGCCACAACAAAACCTGGAACGGAGATAATAGTTCTGTAGCTGTAGGCTATTGTAAAGTTAGAAGCCGCTTATTATCTTGTTCAAAAGAGTAAAAGAGTAAAACGCGTTCTTTGTTTACACGGGGGTTTTATATACTAGCCGCAGCAGAATCTACCTAGCTTATACGCAATTTTATTTCAAATACAATACACTGTTTAATGAAACGGTACGATGATTTCAACTAAAGTTGTCATATTTTGTTGTTCGCATGTAGTAACATCAAAAAAGAGTTTATAACAGATTCAGGAAGAGGGTGTGGTAGGAAATAAGTCTAAGAGACGGGCCAAATTATTGAGATATGAAATTCAAAGACAATGAACATGTCTTAATGTAAAAATGGATCGACGGTTCTTTGACATAAAAAGAACGATCAACCCATTGTCCATGTCGCTTAATTCAACCAAAACGCTGGTAAAGGAGATTAGATGTTGGTGTTATTTCTAGACGGTCACGATATCTCCAGTCGATCATCGCGCTAGCATTAGAATTTCCATAATTTTCGCATCGTTGATGTTTTTTCATATCATTAATTGATAACATTAGACCCAGTTCATTTAGGAAACTTGTTTACTCTCTTTATTGGATTAAGACATGTTTTAAGGATTTACTTAGCAAAGATATTATGACGCGGGAAGTTTGTGGATTAACAAAAATGTCGGATTGAGGATTATAATTATCTACCCATATTTATATAGTTCTTATTTTGATCGGACATTGTGACGTGACAACACCAAACCAATTATTCGGATATCAATGAAAATAATTTCTTTTCTGTCATTTGGTAATTTCGACATGAGTCACCAAGCCACTACCTAATCGCTCCATCTCAGCGAGTATTGCATGCTGATTAGGAACAACCTTGTTCGAAGTGATTACCTGTGCGTGGGAGGGGAAAAAAAAAAGAAGATTTATCATATGCCTCTCTGGATCATCTTAATGCTTAAAAATATACTTACGTTGCTTGTGTACGTTTCCGGCATCGTAGAAAATTCAAGAGTCGCTTTCCACCGCCGAGGGCTCAGCTCGGACGGTTTCCACAGAACGCCAATCGTTGTACCTCCGTATCGATCATAGAAGAACAATGCTACATTGGAATAGAGTTTCTATAGGAAAAAAAACCATATATTATTCTTACCATTGAATTGGAGGATCATGCGATCAAAATCAAACAAATACCGTACCAGTAAATCGTTTAAGTAAGCGTCAACCGGGTCAAATCCCACAATGACCGGTAAAGAATGCTGCGCTAAATGATTATTGGCAAAGTACTTTGGATTTGGGTTGAGATTTTCATAATATCTTGTGCATTTTGATGGGTCGACATATATTATGGCGTCGTAAACATTTAATGGAGTAACAAAGAGGCGCTACAAGTAGAAGAAATAAATTGTCATTAATCCTTCATTTTTATGCACTAGTTGCTACATTCCCACATGTGTCCCCCCTCTTGACAAAGTCGTATTATATCCTACCTTCCACTCGTTCTCTGTAGCGTCGATATGATTCAACGCAGAAGAAGCCAAAGCCTGAATTCTCGCAACCACCACTCTCTCCGGTTTATCCCATCCCCATGAGTAGTCTTCTTTATTATTACCGGACACCACATACATCGCAGCATGTCTTATCTGTTCATCCGACTTGCGCATTCTCTTGAACTCTTCTCTAATCTCACTCATTCTTGTTGATGTCATATCACCAGGAATGTCCACAATCAACGGTTCGTTCTTCCAGTCAAAGTGAGATAACAAATATAGTACGCGAAGGAAACCTGTAATTCCGCTTGCAGGAATGGCGAACGGAGATGGATTTAAGTAGACGTAGGCACAGAGTAGTTCTATCAGTTCCTCATCAACATGGGGGGAGAGTAAATGAGCACTGAACCAGCGTTTGGTTATGCGAATGGTGAGCGAGAGAGATGTGTATTTATTACAAAGTGTGTGAATCTGCGATGTATGCATTGGTATGCCGACGAATAGTCGTCGGTACTTTTTTAGGGCTTTTGTATATTCGTCCTTTTTCGTCTGAGTGGATCTCTTATCCTTAATACCACGTTCAAGCAGAGTCTTGTCTCTCTCCAAATAAATCCTACATCTAAATCCATATCCGCTCTGACTTATTACATCCATAAAGTCATTCGCTTCAATGCTATCCTTCCCGTCGGTCACAACCACGGCGTTCAACCCATTCTCATGTAACTTCTCAGCTATTCGAATATAAAATGCTATCTTCATCTTCTGAATAGCAACCAGATCATCTGGCCACTTAGCCGAGCCCTCAAGGTGTAGCCTTACTTCAATTGGTTCGATATATGAAAAGGAAGCATGAGAAGAGAATATATAAGGACGAGGGATAAATACCGAAGAATATCTTAGGGCAGAATGAGCAGAAGATACAGATTCAATTTCGAGGGGTATATCATCGATGGAGGACATTAACTTGGAAAACTCTTGAAATTCGTGCATTAAAGTTTGGAAGCCTTGGTCGTTTGTTATTGGATTGTAGATGCGTTTGGGAACTATTGGAGACGGCCTTATGAATTCATCCAAATTTCCAGCCCAGTAATGTACTCCATTGTATTCGCTGATGCGAAAATGCAAGTTCAATAAATGCAATACCATCTGTTTAACGATCAATGCTTTCTCTTCCATGCTCTTTGCTTCCCAAACAACACTCTCTACTATGCTTCCGTCCTTAAATCGGCGCGTTTCAGCTTTACGTCCCCATAGCTTTCGGAAATTTCCGGCTGCCACCTCATCATTCGATGGCGGTCCTTTATCTACCAAACGAGCAGACTGTTCATGATTGAGTAAAATACACAGATATAGAGATGCATCTGCTGCGAGTGATGGTGGACTAGAAGACACTGGCCATGGTGGTAAGTCATTGTAAGTAGTAGTTATTAGAGTGACGCGATCTGTTAAAGCCTTTGATAAGAGTACGGGAAGTATCCGTGCAAAATGAAGAAAGTAGTCCGGGTACTCTAATTTTGATGAGTCGTTGTAGAGTGGATATGTGGAGGGTATGTGAGTGATTCTGAAAGTATAGTTACACGATATGACGGATTGAATTAGTTTGTGAATGAAAATTATGCAAATACAATTAGATCGCAAAGTTGTTGAAATCAAATCAAGTAACTACCATCCCAAAAATACTTACTTGGCAATATTGTCATATCTGAATTTAAGGTCATCTACTCTTTGCAAGAATAAAGCTTCAAATCGATCCTCGTTTACTTCATTGAAATAGCTCATTCCAAGTCTTGCTTCATGTTGAACCTATTAGACCGTTCAATTATTCACAATCATATAATCAAGGTAACGTTATTGGAGCCCATCTGCTACAAACCTGATCGAGCACATGTTTTGGAATTAGCCCAAACAAATTCAACCGTCCAGAAGCGTCCACAAAAACTACGTCAAAGTTTGCGATAAAAACTTCCCGAGAGAACTACAATGTCAAGACGATAGAATTTGATTGAATAATTTCGTAAAGTGAGACAACTCCTACTTAAAAGGCCGATTTTAGATACCTCTCCAACAGCCTCGGATTTCCTTAGAAACAGAGGTTCCTTTTTAAAATCATGGTTTGCTACAGGGACAATACTGCTTAATATCAATACTCGGGGTCTTGTCTGTAATCGCCTCTAAATCTTTGCTTCTGCCATTCGGCAATTCTAAAAACCACGTTGCATTCAACGCTTTTTCCTTCCATGCTTACCTAAGAAATCCATTACACCCCTGACCAGTTGATATGAACTAAACCCGCTCGACAGCTTTTTCCTTCCGTTTCCTCCTCCAGATTCCAACAAATATCCCAGCAACATACTCCATATAAACCCGTTAAACTGTTCAAATCCACGTTGATATAACCACAACTTTCCTATTATACAGGCGTCTTTAAATGCAGGACATAATTTGTTGTGTTCGTGGAGAAAAGTAAAGTTGGTGATTATGTGGGCGTCTCGAAGGATTAACGTGTTATATTGGGCTGTTGCAGGGAGAGACGGTGAATTTGAAAGTTCAGATTTGGTGGTAGTTGAGGAGTCACCATTGGTCAGAGATTGAAGAGGAGTTGGCGTGGAATGCAGGCGGACGTTGTTGCGAGATGGAGACAGCCGCTTTATCGGAAACAGATCGGGGGGAATGCAAGGAAAGATTCTGATGACACAGTTCAGTTTTGAAAAATCTGTCGCAGAGTCATCTAGATACGCCATAAGGATAAAAAAAAGGTGAATAAACGCCTTTATACTTCCGGTTGGTATAAATGGATCCATTCATCCATAGCAAAATAGAATAAATATAGAACGCTTACTCCCCGACGGATGCAATATCAAAATGGTCTGCCGAAGATCCGCATTCACGCATTTGAATTTGACATTAAACTTTGCGTGTTTTCCTCCTAATGAATTAGCAAGAACGGCAAGATAGTACGCGCGCTTGTAGAAATATCTGTAATTCATGTAGTCTTTTTCTTGAAATATAGACTGGCGGAATATTGAAATGACAATTGAAGAAACAACATATAAGTGAATCGAAAACTTGAGGTAAACCTGACTCTCAGCGAGCGAATGTTGCGTAATTGGAATTGTTCTACGCCCATAACCTCGCCAACCTTATTACAAAATAACGCCAAAAATTCCCGGTGTATACTTACTCTCGGCATAACTACTCCGACGTCAACGCTAAATCCTTCCTTCTTTCTAATTCCTGTCCTCAAGGGATAACTCCCGATCAAATGTACCGCTGTTGGTTTCTCAAACCCAAACATATATTTCACATCTTTCTCCTCCGGTGCAGGATTCGGAAAGGGAATTTTAATCTTTTGTTTCAAGAGATGTGTCTTTATTTCATTTAATGATTGAGGTGGGATAGACGGGAGTGAATCAAGCGCTGATTTAAGGGTATGAAGAGCCGATTCGAGGTGTTTGTGCTTTGTATAGTCGAGTCGGATTTCAGAGAGAAGTTCATCAAGCTAAGACAAAAAATATATTATTGAGTGTCGGTTGCATTGACAAAAAGACTGAAAATTTTCAACATAATTGATACTTTATAAAAGGACTATATTGACAATGTTGCGAAAACTTAATAGTACAATTTATACCTGTAATTTAAATATATTTGATTTAAACAAGTCGGTAGTCTCCTTCAATCCTTGTATCTCCTCGTTCGTTGGTGCTTTGTACAAAGGATTTTTCTTCTTTTTTATGATTACAGATCTTGCTCCCTCGGGTTTATGATCACCATCCCCTTCATCAACGGACATATACTCGTCCTCTTCTGACAGGTCTTGTTCGTCTTCATTGCTAAATTGCTCCGATGCATCTGATTCTTCAATGTAATCCCCGGATGAATCAGAATCATCTTCGGACGAGGGTGGGTCGGGTTTTGCCTTGTGTATTTAGAAATGCAAGGTGCAATATTTGCAATGTAATAACCGAATCGAGGTTTATGCGTGATCACAAATCAAAAAATAATAGTACCATTTTCTTGGGCTGCCATAAAGCGGACGTGTTTTTTCGTTTTATTTGGGGCATTTTTAGTAAAATCAAATTAATCGAAAATAAAAAAAAAGTACGAGTACTGATATTTTAAAATTTTTCAGTGCACGTGATAACGCGAAAATCAGCGAGTTTAATTTCCGAGTTTACACAAACTAACGAATATTATTTATAACCATAAAGTACAAAGAACATCGAACAAAAAGCAACTTTATAGTCCTGCGTCAATGTCTGACTCAGGTAAGCCTGAGGGTTAATTGGATTCTAATTTGGAATTGAATATAACCGAAAGATCTTTCCGCAGAAGGTGACAATGCTGACATACCCGTCCACGCGATTCCAACGAGAAAAGAATGGGACGACGAGGACGTTGACGAGGACCAGATCAAAGTAAGTGCTTGTTATTAGTCTATCGATCCACATTTTGTTTGGAAATTAAACGTATTATTCAATAGGATTCATGGGAGGATTCAGAAGAGGAGGAGAATAAGGTTGAGAATAAAGTTGAGAATAAAGAAGCCCCGCCAAGAAAAAAAGTTCCCCTTGCTCAAAGGATCGCCGAAAGAGAGGCAAAACGGCGAGAAGAAGCGGAAGCCAAATTAGCCAAGCTTGTATGTTGAGGCTTGAGTATTGACAGTATTTTTGTGTTTGCGCACTTTGTGGTCTGTCTAATATTTGTAATTGTGGCTAGAAACTTCTCCAAGAAGAAGAGGATGAAGATCCCATTAAAAGAAAAGAACGTCTTCGCGAATTGGAAATCAGGTCCGATATGGAGAACGTGAAAACAATGCTTGGTGATACTGTCAGCGGTGAGTATTGTAGGGCATGCACAACTTAACACGAATACTCTTGTTCATATGAAGTGCATTGTTTACTTCAATAGTTGGAATAGATTCACAGTCCAAATTAGACAGCATAAATCCGCGTACGAAAGAAGAGTTTGACGAGTTCAGCAAATTGCTCGTTGAGAAAATACGAAAACATGAGGTTTGTAAGAGTATTTCATAAATAAAGAGTGGTTTGATGCAAATCTCCTGTATGAGTTTACCGAATTAATGCTTACATATCATGAATATTTCTGTTACGACTTCAAACAGTCGAAAGCAGCATACCCAGCATTTATCCAAAGCTTCATTCGAGAACTATGTCTTCCGTTAAAAGATGGGGATGTGAAGAAGATATCAACTACTTTAAACACATTGGCAAACGAGAAAATCAGAGCTGCCAGAGAAAAGGATAAACCGCAGAAGAAGAAAGGTAAGTTATTCAACGGCTTGTTTTATCTCTTTCCTGCCCGATGTTTCGCCTGTAATTCATTAATGATTCCGATGATATCTTTATTTAACAGGCAAGGCCAAACCTACGCTTGCAGGAGGAAAAGACGATGCTTTTGATACAACAAACTATTCCAAATTCGATGATGACGAATTTGATAGCTTTATGTAGGAGACATTGTTGGTAGACTTTTTGTTCATTTTAAATATAGTTGCTTATTATTATGTAATACTTATCTAATTGGAAGGATGGCAATCGCGACAATGGAGGAGAAATAATTTGAGGTTCTTGCTGTCTGTTGTCCTATGGAAACGGAAAGATTGTATGTTGCTGACTTAAATTGATGAGCAAGGACTAACTTTCAACCTATCATGTCAGGTTGCAAATAAATCTATTCGTAAATCAACGTAATTGGTTGATTTACGATGTCTAGTTCACAGTACAAAAAGGTCTTTTGTTATCAAATTAACTTATTACAAGGCCAAAACGAGTCTATCTCAATTCCTTACGAATCCTATTATTAATCGTGTTCACTCATGCTTCTGATTCACGTGCCCCAATAGCGTTTCGCCAGGCTTTCTTCAAAATATCCAATCCTTCCAAATCCTCCATTGTAAATCCTTTACGTTTTACGAGACCATGATTAACCGTAACAATGACGCAAAGGTCGTGATTTCTCCATCTGCCAAAGTCACGGGCCCACTATATATACATATATAATGAATAAGACAAAAACGGAATAACGATAATGGACAAATAAAGATTGGGTATAATTATGCTTACCCAGAGATTGAGTCCACCGGATCCCCTAAAAACGTGATAATAATAAAAATGTTATTACAATCGCTATCAATAATTACAATGCAACCAGACACGCTCAGCCCGCATTCTCACTCTCTTCTTTTCTTCATTCGCCTACCATTTTTGAAATTGTCCATCAGTAATTTTCGCCTCCTTATCAGTTTGTATATTCTTAATTTGCGTCAACGGAATAGCCTTTTCTGACCCACTCGGCATGTAATAGTGAAATATATATAAATAAGTTTTCGATACAGCCATGTATTTATCTCTATATAAGACAGGCTCTTCATCGCGAAGCATTAGTTTCCGCCGGGTTTTGATTTGCGAAGAATCATCCGTGGTGTCAGGTGGAATATCATCCGCCCAGTCAGGTTTGGGCGTTGCAGGTAAGTCAGAGAAGGAAGCTGAAGATGCAGTGGCTGTAGTTGCGATCACTTGTTCAGGATCGTCTTCGGGCGACTCGATTGTGTCTTCTCTCTTGCTCTTACTTCCTTCCGCCTTTTCCTCAGGTGCCACTTCTTCTGTTTCTTCTCTTCCTTCGTGCTTTGTGTCATCCAATTTACTGTTACCTCTTTCGATTTCTTCGGGTTCTGCTGTGAGGTCCTTCAAATCCTTTTCTCCTGGTGTTTCGGGAGGTGTAGCAGTGGAGAATGATCCAGTAGATCCTGAATCATTGCGTCTTCTGCCGAGACGGAAGGGCATTTGATATAGTATTGGAAGTACAGTAAATACTGCAGTCAAGTATACTATTTATCTGCTTATGACTTTGACGTGTTTCACAAAATCGTCATAAAATTGTCTGTGAGCAAGTCGTTTACGACTTTATCGAGAACACAATTAAATATAAAGGTGCATTAACAATGCAACTACATAAATGGCAAGTAGAATACTTAATAATATTAGCGTTAGCATTAATAGTAAATAACGCATTAGTATACAGTATATTTTTCTGTTATATTACATTTCATAACGATTTTTTACCTCCAAATTGTACTCCAACGCTCGGGGCACAAATACCAGTCAGGATTGCTGCTAGAAATGGTAAATAATTCTGATACCAATGCTCTACTACTATGACCAGATCAAATGTTTAGCATTGATATTGTATGTCTTTCACAGAAACGGATGAATATACTCCGCAAAAATACATGCTATGGCTATCCATCGTATACTGTTGATAATTAATACCTTGTCAACTATTACTATAGTTTCCCGCGCAAACGGATCAGCTATCATCAATACTGCCATTGGCGGAGATAGATAAAATCCACGTCTGCTCCTTCAACGGATACAATAAACTGAGATTTTTTTCCCTTTCAATTAGAGAAATAGTTCTTATTATCTTCTTGTGCTGTATATTCAATTAAAACCAAGTATATATTCTTTCCATTATTCTTGTTTGAATTTAACAAGAGTTTCATAATAATTAAAGGATAACTATCCGAATACTTCAGTATCGAATATTTAAATTTTAACATGAACATCAACACAACATGAGGCTTTTGGAAGGGTTGCTTACAGCCACAGAACGCGTTGCAGTATTATTAGCTAATACTATATTCCATGTTATTTATTTCGTTTCTATCGTTCGCTGATACTAATTATTGACACATCTACCTGACCGGTGTTGTTAGGAATAAATTTCCGCTTGTAACATTGCTGTCAACGCAGTAGTCGTTCACTGCGATAAAAGATTAGAGATTCTCAAACGATAAATTATTTGTAGTTTTAATTAGGAAAGTGACATTCCCCATTACTATTTAAATACAGTATTAGGATTAAATTTTCCCTTCGATTCTGCGATAGTATACTGTAATTGTTGTTGTTATATTACCTTATTTAGATACGCGTATAGGTAAATACATCGTATGGGGAGTGAAAAGCGAAGCGCGCATAAATAATTATTGTCACTAGTCAGTTTAGTTCAGCCTTAGATGAGCAATCGTTGTAGTAAGGCAGCAATACGGGCTAAACTGTGAAAACCCTCTCGGCAGAACACACCTACGCAATTTTATTGCTCTCCCAACCCAAGTGGATTCTGACCGTAACAATAACCTTACCTTATTATTATATAATAATTTTATCATATTAAACATGCATTGTTACATTACTGAATATAATTTTGTTGACAAAAGTTCATTGAAAAACACTGTTTTCTTCACACTTTTCAATTTGCATTTGGCAATAATTCACTGAAATGCAACTGTGAGTTTTTTTAAACAAATATTTATTTGTGCAAAAAGTTATTACCAATTACCAGAAGTCAATTTCTAGCACATACTGCTTCATATGCTCTCTAATCCATTTTGGTTGAGTTACTACAACAGTGTTGTTAACAGTATGAATGGGTTGTTTTTTATAGACTATTACCACAACAAAATAGAAATAAATGTCACTTCCCAGTGCTAATTTCTGTTTAAGTGCTTTCAAATCATTCATCATGATAGGGGGACAAGCTCACGTTTCATCGATCGTACCGCAAATCACTAATATTTCTCGGCAATTGGATTTAGGCAGGACTGTTAGAAGCCAGTCAATTACTTCAGTACTGTTATTTGATGAAAATTAGAAAACATGTAAAAATCTAACCCTTATGTGTGCTCTCTTCGAGCTCCTGCTTCCTTCCCAACTTCCTGTGTTCCCTCCATCAAAAATTGCCTGCACTTTCAATTGCCCTCTATACTCAGCTTATCTTCGGTTTGTTCTCAGCACTTTTTATAAAAAATCTTAATTCCAGGGATTACTGATCATTATACTTTTTATATTAGAATGTTGTGGTATAATTGATAGCATGCAAAAATGGTCACGTTTCGTAAACAATCGAATGGATAATTACTTATATTGTATCAACTAAACAGTAAAGATTATCGCTCAAATCACGTGATTTGACTTATCGAGAAGCAAGTTGCAAAACAATAATAATAATATCGTTGCAGCAATACGCGTCGGAGGTCAAGGTTTATCGCGATTTTCAAAAAACCATTTTGGAAGCGAAAGTAGAGTAATGTACGTTATCTACATCACACAAATGGTGGATGTCGAAGCACTAGACAAATAATATCTTTAAATAACGTTTTTCAGCTAAAGTATGTCAATGTTAATATATTACAAGCGATGATTAATTAATTGTTTTAAATGATAATAGCACGATGTCAATAAGAAAAGCACTATTAATGTCCATTAACAAGTCTTATTCATTGTAATGTACCTCATCACCATCAACGAATATCTGCAAACACATAACCAAATGGTCATTCCCATTCCCACCCTCAACATTAGTTCCAAAGCTATCATTTCTTCGCATAATAGTGTTTCTTAAAGAACGCATGATGTTCGGGCTTATCCTTCTTATCCTTCTTGTCTTTTATCTTCTTTGACCCTGCCTGTCTGACATATTCTTTATAAGCCATATGATCCGCACCAGATAAACTCCTCATACTTCCGACGTTCCTCTTAACCCTATTTCCAAATGGAGGAAGTCTCGAGAAATTCCTCGAAGTTGTCGTTCCAGGAAGATCATCAACATTAGCTTCGACGTCGTTATCAATCTCCGCTGCATTCTCGTTCGCGATCAGGACAGAGTTCAACAATTCCAACTGCTCTTCTTTTGTTTTATAAGCCAAATCGGCCTGATCAATTCCCTCGAGATTAGTGATGACTTTGAACGCATAGCCTTGATCAATAAGAAATTGTTGTCGCTTAGTAGAGTAATACATCTCTTGAGTATCTGTGGAAACGAGAGAGTAGAAGAACGCATTAAATCCTTCATCGTTACGACGTTTGGCACGGAGAATACGTCCAAGGCGCTGTGCCTCCTGTCGACGTGAGCCGTAATGGGAGGATATCTGGATTAAGCAGGTCGCTTCCGGAAGGTCTATTGACGTATCACCGACCTGAAAATGAAGAAATTCGTAAACGAACGATACATTGAAATAAACGATCGAATGGATATGAAACCAGGTTATAGAAGCGTTCAAAACATAAATTCACTGCTTGCAAGTTACCTTCGAGAGAAATATTGTATTAACGGCGGGATTGTGCTGGAAGTTCTGCAGGATACGCATGCGTTCTTGCGATGCCGTCTTACCATGGATAAACGGAACTCCCATTTTAATTGCATATTGCTAAATGAAAATATTCGCACGAATGTTAGTTAATGACAAATAATTGAACATGCGACGATTTAAATTCAAAGGTTCCATTTTCCGTCTTAATCTTTGATATAAACTACCGTCTATTTGTTTTTACTGTTACCAGATCCTTCCTGTTTTAATCACTATTTGGATTAATATTATCCATTTCAGAAATTTCTTTACTCACCTCTAGCGCATACACGTTATCACTGAACACTATAATCTTGTCCCCTCTTTCTTCATGATACCTAATTAAGTACTGGCACACTTGGAATTTTCTCGGATTCATCACATATAACAGTAATTGCTTCCGCGACGCTTCTCTGAGGTATTCTCTATAAAACTCTGGTGTCATCGGACACCATACCTCAGCACACTGTACATTTGCAATATGGCCTTTTGAAGCCAGGTCCATCCAGTTGGCTTCATATAACTTTGGCCCAATTAGAAAATTTAAATCCGAAATTTTATCATCTTCCCGAACAAGTGTTGCAGTCAGTCCGAGTTTCGTGTGCGCAGCAATAGTGGTGACAACACGTCTAAACATTGCTGCAGGAACAACATGTACTTCATCGAGTAGAATAAATCCCCATTCGCGACCTTTAATAAAGTCCATCATTTTCGTAGCTTCATAAGAACGGTTACGCGTATTTGCTACCATGCTATAAGTAGAAATCACTATTCCTGACTGGCCCATGAACTAGAAAAATGACGAGACAACGGAAAAGAAAAGCAAAAATGACGGCAATGAGTACATGAGCATAACGATTCTGAACTATTCTTTCGTAAGGATAGCGTCTCGCTGGCATTATCGGGTCCAGAATGCACATCTCTCCTCTCTTTCATCCGACTTAATCTACATTGTTACTCACCTTCTCTTTCTGATCGCTCGTAAACACAGCAATCTGATTCTCTCTAATATTCGACCACTGCAAAAATTGCTGTTTCCATTGCATGACTGACACCGCAGAAGTGCACAGCACAAGACAGCTTTTTTTTATTGTACATGCAGCAGTGATACCCACTAGCGTTTTTCCAGCTCCGCATGGAAGAACTATGATGCCTGATCTCGCACGGCTTGAACGGATTAATGATGGTTTTTAGTTCACAAAGTAGTTAAAAGAAATGTAGATAGTCAGTTGATTATATCCAAATTCATCTGCCAGCATCATTAAAGCCTGTAATTATTCCGTTACAATCAAGTAATCATCTGTTTTTCGATTTCTATCTAGAGTTCACGTAATTTTTCTATTGGATAATCCACTTGCAAGATCATATCTTGCCATCGAACTCATCTTAAATTGTCTTTTTCCATAAACTAATATACGGCACATTTCAAAATGTATTACTTTTTTCAACAAAACACAACTCACCCGTTACCAAACATCTTGCTCAAACACTTCTCTTGATATGGTCTAATAACTGTGATCGGCCTCAAATCAATATCGAGTGACGCAAGTGTAGTGTCATTTCTAAAATCATACTCTTCCAGCATAGGATAATCCAATTCATTACAACGCTTCTTTACTTTTTCAAATTGCGCAGCATCGATCTCGAATGAGTGCACTTCATCAACATCTTCGTCTTCCTCATCCTCCTTGTCTATCTCTACAACAGTGTTGAATAGACCTTCATCGTTTTTATTTTCGGCAGATGCATCAGATAAGGAGGATGGGAGGGCGTTTTTGTCTACGGTGTCAATGTCCATTGAATCTGAAGATTTTAACGAATCCTCTATTTTCTTTCCAGGGATGACAAGATCTTTAGCAGTAGGTGCTTTGTTCTTCATTAAAAAATATTTATCTTGCGACTCATCATTTATTATCCTTGCTGCTGCGATAATGTCGTCTTGTAACAATTTTTGAAGTGTTTCTGGATGTGATGATTCTACAAAATACCTATTATGCTTCAACACCAGCTTCACTTTACCATATGAAAATGTACATTGTCTAATAAGATTAACGATCTGTTCTGGAATTTGTATCTTTGACAGTCTATTCAATACTTCAATAATGTCTTCTGTTTCTAATCCCACAGACACTGCGGCATAGAGTGAGTATGGAGTGAGTTTGTACTCGTGTATATGAGAAGGGCGACTCACTGGTTCACTGATCGCTATCAGAAAGTCTTGTGCTTGCTCTGCTATTGGGGAGAAAGCTTCGAGAGTTATATGACCAGTTACTGGAGAAATCCATAGGGGACGTGATTCGTGATCAGGTTTTAGTGATATGTGTGAAAAGTCTTCTGCTCCGAATATAAATGATATGCCATCTTTAGCTTTTGCTGCCGGAACTGAAGGATTGAATAAAGTTGTTTGCAAATACGAATCAGTACGCATATACGAGGGAATTGTGTCTTTGCTTGAAGACATGTTGGGTATTTGCAAAGTTCATCAAATGTAATCGATGACGTAAAAATTATAAATCATCATTTCAGGTGACATTTTTTTATTGGTAGATAGCGCCGCAATATATAAATTAAGCGACTAGTCGAAAAACCTGTAGGCCATGACAGATTTAATAGCTTTACAAGTAAAAAACAAACGCGAGAATTTTAATGACGAAAAGACGGGAAACATTTAAATAATATATGAACATATGTATTCAGACGATCTCTGTTATTCAATACAATACAGTGATAAGGATAATTTAGTTCTCGCCTAACGACTGAAACGCTTTACACCGAACTTTAAACAAGTAACTGCAAGTCAGATCGATCAATCGTGAACACAATTTCTATTATCTATTATTACAAGCAAAACTCCATGGATGAAATTGGAAGTTATTGTTGTGATAATGAGACTTGCATACATATACACTCTTATAACGATACTAATTACACCAAAGTTTTGGGGATGTGCTTATCTTTGGAAACCTTTGGGGTGGTGCTTATTTTCGGAATTCGTAATTTTACGCAACCATGCTGTTATTATCAGCTGACCATTATAGTAGCTTGCGTAAATTTATTTCGAAAATTACCTTCAAAAGACGTAAAAGATTCTTAGTAATAATGCCAATGCAGATTTTCGAAAAAATACACTTTTCATATGGTTTGATAATTGATCAGTATGGATGGTCGTGATGAAGCTAAGATACCCGCTTGAATTAACAACCAGATTTTCCAATATGTTTTGAAAATTAAGCTGTAAAGAACGTATTTTGAGAATTGCGAGATTTATTGTATGATATATAATCAGTCTGATGAATGTCATATATTCATATGGGGCAGACTGCAACAAAACCAGACAAAGTGAACATTCTATTATGTGACATAAATGAGTGACTGATTATGATGTGGCTGTAAAATTGACCAGTGTGACTGATGACGTTTGGAAAAGTAATAATGGTGCTCATTCATAACTTATGGACTTGTTAATTAATAATTTGGCTGAAACGAGCAAAAACTGACTCCTAATAATTTGCGAGTTTATTATGTATTAAGCCTAATCTTCCAA